TCCTTCCCCCCCCAACCCCCCCAAGTATCTGTTTCTTATAGTTGACTGGATGCAGCTGTGGGTCTCTGTTTCAAGTGTCTTATCATGAGAAACAGTAATACTTTTGGAAGTGAAAAATACACACAAGCAATTTAACCAAAAGGTTTCAATAAATGTTAGTCATGTTTTTCTTTTGCAGTGCATTCAAATGCGGCTGTGATCTTTGCTAGGAAAAAAAAGTTTCAATTAATATAAAATGTAAAGAAAATTAGGATCTTACTGCCACATTTTATTGCAGTGCTGATAGCATCACTAAATTCCATGTTATGTATTGAACTCCTTTGTGCTGGGGAATGGGGATTCCTACAGAATATGCAAACCCAGCAGAAATGAAACATGGAGATGTGCATGCAACCAGCACAAAGTGGCTGCAATCTCATATGACCTTTGGGTTCTGTGCACAACATCAACATAATCTCGCAAATCATCAGTTGTAGTGTCATTGCCCCCATATTGTTTGAGTCTATTTCCTAATATATTTAAACCACTCTCTTAAAACAAATGTAAGTGCCAAGTTCCATATCTAACCACAGAGCTCTGTCTTAGGCCCATTATTCTTCAATATCTTCATAAATGACTTAGATGAGGGAATAGAGGGAGAACTCATCAAATTTGCAAATGACACTAAGCTGGCAGGAATAGCCAACACCCCAGAAGACAAGCTCAGGATCCAAAAAGATCTTGACAGACTTGAACAGCAACATGAAATTTAATGGGAGAAAAGCAAGGTTTTACACTTAGGCAGGAAAAACCAACGCTACAAGTACAGATTAGGTGAAACCCTTTTCAAAAACAGTAACTGTGAGAGGGATCTTTGAGTCTTAGTGGACAATCACTTAAATATGAGCCAATTGATGGAAACTAAAGGAGAGAAGAAACAAGAAACAATTGATGGAAACTAAAGGAGAGAAGCAATCTGGAATTAAGGAGAAACTTCCTGACAGTGAGAACAGCTTTCCTTCAGAAGTTGTGGGTTTTTCATCACTGGAGGTGACTGGACAGCCAGTTGTCTGAAATGGCTCCTTTCTTGAGCAGGGGGTTGAACTAGACCTCCAGCTCTTTTCTGATTCTAATTCTGATTCCTTCTTCACTCCTAGATGAGGTCCCTCCAATATCTGAGAGAATGTGACCTTCCTCACAGATGAACTTTTTTTCTTTGTAGGTATGGGTAGATAGCTGAAACAACTAAATATTCTTTGAGTGAAATCCTTTGTGCAAAAATGCATTTTTATCCTTCCTTGGGTTTAAAATAGCATTTCTGACTATCTAAACTGGCTAGTTTCTTGCATTTCATTTCCTTCCCTTCCTTTCCAAATTGATGAAAGCTATGAAACTTTTAGCCTGGGTACACAATGTGGTAGTGTCTCATTTGCCCCATCCAGCAGGGTCAATAAGAAAGAATTATGAGAAGTTTAGTTTAATATTTAGATGATATAAATTTCCTCTTCTTGTAGTAGCCACTAGGCAATAGATACAGTAAAACAAATCTCTTTCCTGCTAAAAGCTGTTTCTTATGTTTGCATTTTTCTTCTGTTGTTCCATTTGTTCCATAATTTTGAACATGTGGAAGTCAACATTTCCTTATCAGTACTGTCACAAGTTTTATTCTCCCAAAACTGGCTTTATTCCCTGAATAAAGGAAGCTTGAACGAATATAGGAAGCTGAGGCTCTATTTACAGAAAACATTGACCTTCTATCACATTTCTATATATGGTCCAAATATGTAGATCAGTCTTTCCTCTGTCTAGACACCTTCCAGATGTATGGAGTTAGCTGCTGAAATATGAGCAATGGTGATGCTGGCAGGGAAGTTCTAGGTGTTGAACCATCTGGAGTATACAGGTGGGGCAGTTCTAGTGTACCTGATAAGAATGTGTCCACACAGGTGGACAGTTGAGGAAATATCACTTGTAGAATTTTCTCCAATTGTTTGGCAGCAAGTTTGTTTGTGGATTTTCCTTGGCAGTTTAAATTCAGTTGAAACTAATGAAATTGCAGTCACACTTAGGACTGTAATAGACCATGACCAGACCCAATTTTATAACTTTTTGTGGCAATTCTTAAGTGAACACCGTAGTTGTTAAATGAATGCCATTGCTGTAAAATGGACATATTGTTTGCTATGGGACATTTTTGCCAAAAACAGGAGCAAATGTCAGTTTCCAGCAAAAAAATAAAATAAAATCATAAAGTGTTGTCATGTGACCACAAGGGACATATATTGGAACTTCAGAACTGGATTGTAAGTACCTTTTGCAGGGTCCATTGGAACTTTGAATGGCCACCAAGTTATCAGTCATAAGTTGAGGACTACCTGTAAGGGCCTGAAAGCCTGGCTCTACCAGTTGGCTTGGGGCCCCAACAGAGGAGTGTTACACTGGAGATTATTGATGAATTACGAGAAAATCCCATCTCCCCCCTCTCCCCAGCATCCTTCTTCCCCCCTCCCCATCTGTTAACTGCAACTTCACTTGGATTGTAATTTTTATTAATATTAGAAATATTTGTCTTTTATGGTTTTATTGCTTTTAATGTTCTATGTTTTCCAGAGTTGTTTTCAAGCAAGATGGGCAGCAAACAAATTTAAACAAACAAACAAACAAATAATACTGATCTTATGATTTGGTTTGCACCCTTTAGAATAATGCCTGATTTGAGTTAGGCTTAATCAGGGCCTAGTTACTCAAGACTTTGACTGAAATGAGAGCTATGGCTTTTCTTGACCCATACTAGGAAAACACCAGTAGATGTAATTTCTTAATTTTTAAGTGAATGAGATAAAAATTGTAAGCACATAAATGCTTTTAGGATGATGAGACCTGTTCAATTGTAAGGGGAAAGGTCCAAGTTTGTTTCAAAACTCCTTGGAATTTGTTCCCCCCTCTCCTTGTAAAAAGGCCGGTTCTTGAAACTTTGAAGTAAGAATTATATTTACAAGTGCAATTCCATCTTTTAGGGATAAGCCTCCAAAATTTCACACAACAAAATTATCATTTGCAAGCAAGCATTTTTTGGCCGAGGATGGCCCTTAAATACTGGTACTATTTATCTAAAGCAAATGTTTTGTTTTGTGATTAGTTCTTTTCAGGGACACTTACTTGGCAGGTTTGTAGTCTCCAGTTATCTTTCTTCAAACAGAGTTTGGCCAGTATTCTCTTCATATGCTATGTTATTTTAACTTTCCAAGTCTCTTCTTTGATTCAAGGCAACATTCAGATCTGTTGCGTTGAATCTGTATGGTTATAAGCATAATAGTTTATCTATCATAACAGTTGTTATCTCCCAGATTCGAGGTCAGTTGGTGAAGTCTGGAGAAGGTATTTGTGTTGTGGAGATATGTTTATTAATGAAGTGCAGCCATCAGGAATTTGGAAACTTGTAGTTATCTGTTGAACTGCATTCCAGACCTTCAGACAGTAATGGAAATACTTGATTAATATTGCCAGGATAGCTAATCCCTTGCAATAAAGAGAAGAGAAGAGAAGAGAAGAGAAGAGAAGAGAAGAGAAGAGAAGAGAAGAGAAGAGAAGAGAAGAGAAGAGAAGAATTTTTTTTATTGGCCAAGTGTGATTGGACACACAAGGAATTTGTCTTGGTGCATATGCTCTAAGTGTACATAAAAGAAAAGATACGTAAAAGAAAAGATAGGTTCATCAAGAATAGATACATTCTATTCCATTCTATTCAATAAATATTATAATGTTTGTTTGTGTAAATTTTGCAGGAGAATAAAGGATACCACTAGTAAACAGGATGTCTTCTTGTACATACATGAAATGTAATTACATATAATAGTTTAAATCAATTTCAGAGTTGATTTAATTTAATTAAGGTGCTTCTGTGATTGGGTAAATAAAATTAGATAAGCAGTTTGCAAACTTTTCAGTCAATAATTTTTATGCATCTATAACAAAGAAACTAATTTAAAATCTATTAAAATTTTAATAAATTGGTATTCAGAATTTACCACAAGTTTTCGACAATAATTATAAATTCAAATGATGTACAATGATGAGAAACTTCTGATAACTCATATTGCTAGATTATCAGACCAGTGGGTCCATGTAGCACTCGGTTCTTCTAATATTCGTCAATATAGCATGCTAGGTTTGAAATGTATGTATTTCAGAGACTTTTATATAAAAGACCTGTATTCCACCTATAGCTAAATAATATTCCACACATAGCTAACATTTTGAATAAAATGAATTACCGGAAAGTAGTTCCGGGCCAAAAGCTAGCTTCTAGGACAGAACCAGTCTGATATGATTCATTAATTATTTGTATGGGGCAGCAAACTACATACTGAAAAGAAAGCTCCTGTTTAGTTATTATTCCTCAGGCATTCCTAAAGATTAGAGTGGTGGAGGACAGAGAACTCAAGGTTGTAAAAACATTTCTTACAATCTATAGTTCAAGGAAACTATATTATTTCAGATGTCAACATAAAATCATGAAGGCTAAAATTATATTTCGTTTCTACTACATGTAGTCCTTGACTTACAAGCGGTTACGATGAACTCCTCCCAAAAGGCAATTATGACCTAAATTCAAAGATGCAATGGCTGCCACCCCCCCCCCTTCCTTTACATGATTGCATTTGGGACACTCAGCAATTGGCCCACATTTATGTCTTATGTTTGCAGCATCCCACTGTCACATGACCACAATTAATGAAATTTCATTTCTTGTTTACTTCTGGTTTCTGGCAAAAAAAAAAAAAGTCACATTGAGGACAATGTGTTCATTTTTTGACCATAGAGTTTGCTTAACGACTGCCACAAAAAAAGGTCATAAAATTGGGCATAGTCGAGTGATGACCTGCTTAATGATCAGCATGACTTAACAATTGTAATTCCTGGTTCTGCCTGAAAGGATACTTGACTGATCGATGAGAAGAATTGTCATTATGATACTGGAATGAAGCAAGCTAACCTGGAAATGTATTTTATCTTCACAGGTTACAGCCAAGACTGCCTTCTTGTTCATCTTACCTCAGTATAATGTCAGTGTGCTGACAGCAGGTAAGAGTATTTAGTCCACTGAATTGAAAACCTCTGCCTTGTAGTCAGCGTGCTCAGGTTTCACTCAACTCGAAACCTATGTGGTTGTAACCTCAAACTGGCTTTCTATTAATTGTGGGGTAAATATCTTTACTGTGCATTTAATAGGCAAACATAAACATTCACATGCTCACATGTATAGGTATGCACAAACATACAGAACCAAGGAAACTTAAAATAAAAATATTTCCATATGAGTAAAATAATCAGCCTTCCAGATGTGCTGGAACTACATATCCCCTAGTTCCCAACATAGGAGCTTCTAAACAATGAAGCTTTCATGTGTACCACAGATAATGAGTACTGTAGTCATTTCCTCTATAAATCTTGTAAAGTGATCTAACACAGGGCCAAAGTTAGTAAATTCTGTAAAAAAAAATGTAAAAAAGAGATTAGAATGCATCTGTTCAGTGTCTAATAACAGTTCAGTCTAGAATGAGTCACAATTCTTATGTAGCACAGATAATGAGTACTGAGATTGACAACAGATATACTGTATGTGCCTGCTGATATATACAGGTAATCCTAGACTTACAACCACAATTGAGCCCAAAATTTCTGTTGCTAGGCAAGACAATTTTAAGTGAGTTTTGCCCCATTTTGCGATCTTTCTTGCCACAGTTAAGTGTAGCTGACTTCCCCATTCACTTTGCTTGTCAGAAGTTTGCAAAAGCTGATCACATGTCCCTGGGATTTAGCAACCCTCGTCAGTTTTGATCATATGACCATGGAGATACTGCCACAGTCATAAGTGTGGAAAACAGCCATAAATCACTGTTTTTCAGTGCTATTGTAACTTTGAGCAGTCAGTAAGCAGTAGTTGTAAGTCGAGGACTACCTATACATACAAATACTTGTAGATAACTTGGATGATCAAATGAGTTTTCATTTTGAACTAGTGGGAGCACAGGGCAAACCTGTGTACATTCATAGTTGCCCCCTATGCAGCCAAACTGATTAATATTTACAGGTTTAATTTCTGTCTCTTGCCAGCGTTAAACTCTCTCTTTCCTTCTTTGGTTCTGCTTCTTTGTATCTGTCTTGAAAAGCCTTGGTTCCGAAATGGTTTCTCAGCTTAATTTTTTGATTTTTATCTGTTTCCCCCACTCCCTGTTTCGTTTCCTTTAGATGGTGAAATTGTTCTTTATCACTACGGGCTGAAGGATTTGGTTACAATCCTCTTCTACATCTTCATAGCAATCATTCTGCATGCTGTGGTGCAGGAATATGCACTGGATGTAAGTCTTACCTTGGGCTCAATAGAAAACTTAAGGTGCATGAACCTTTGGCACAAACCTCCCCTTCCTCCACATTTCTAATCCTTTGTTACAACTGAGATTGTAAAGTTTAAAGTTTTAAACTTTAAAGTTTTCGTTTTGCAGTGAACTTTATTGAAGCATGAGATGGGCAGATGTGAATTTTCCCCTTCTTGAATTATATAAACTGTCCTTTTAACCTATCAGACCTTTGGATCTTTTCTGTTTTTCCTTTTTTTCCTTTCATTTTCCTTGCCTGGGGTAAAGTCAATTTTCTCTACAGGCATGTTCCTTCTTGTTGGAGGGAGTGGGAAAGCTTTTTCTCTCTTCCCCCATCCCATATGGTGGGTGGGAGAGAATTTCTGGTCACAGCTGGTGTTTGCAGTACCCTGTTTTCTCCATCCTGCCCATGGGTCGTTAGTAAAGATACTGTATTTTTCAGAGTGTAAGACACACCTTTTTCCCCCCTAAAAGGGGGTGAAAATTTAGGTGTGTCTTATACACCAAATGTAGCCCCGCCCACCCACTGGCTCCCACCCTTTGGCCTCTGCCTCACAGCAGTAATCTCTTTGCAAGCAAACAGCAAGAAAAAACATCTCCTTTCAGCTTCAGCACAGCCTAATTAGCACAAGTTGATTGGATCTGCCTCCCGACTCTCAGCTGATTTGCTCTTAGCTGTTTTGAGCAGGGCTCTGCTGCTTGCTGCAAAGAGGTAAATTGCTGGAGCAGATTTTTTTTCCCTTGTGCTAATCAAGCTACTGAAAACGAAAATGAAAGTAAAGCAGGCTGTTTGCTGCAACGAGCAGAGGGAGATTTCTTTTTCTTCTTTTCGTCACCAAAAAAGGTAGGTGTATCTTATACTCTGAAAAATACGGTAGCTTGTTTGATTAAAGGAGGCAAAGACCTTTGTAAACTGCTTCAAGCATCTTCTGGTATGTTTGGTTACAGTTTAGAGGCAATTCTAAAATATCCAGTAGCTATATGGATTATATGAGAAAGAAAAATTGATTAGTAAATATTTTGATGCTTATATAATTGATGTTAATATGGAAGATAGTATTCTTTATAACAATGATTGATAGTATCTACTATATGTTTGTATGTTGATATGATCATAATGATCATGATGATGTTTTAATGTTAGCAATTTTGTTATCTAGAAAACACACTGTTCAATTTAGAAATGGAATTTATGATATAAAAACAATACTAAAATATCCAGCAGCTTCTGCTTATTTCCAAGTGAAAGAGAGTTGCCACTATCACCCACGATGAACGTCTTTGCGTCCTGGTCCAAAATCCTGCATAAAATTCTGTTCCTGTCTCTGGGAAGCCTGGGATGAATAAATTGGGAATCCTGTTTCATTTTGCGTGGAAGGAGAATGGCCAGCAGCAATAATAGATGCTGAATCATAATCCAGGTCAAAATGTGTGACACTCCATGTTAGATCTCCAGGTCATTTCCTGAGCTGGTGTAATGCATATCCGTCAAGCTCTGTTCATGCTTTTTCCTTGCTTTTTTCCTGGGTAGTGGGGTGAAATGTTTGTGGCTTTTTTCCCTGTTTTTATTGATTTCTTCTTTTTCCCTAGAAAATTAACCGTCGACTTCATCTTTCCAAAATCAAGCACAGCAAATTCAATGAATCTGGACAGCTGGTAGCATTTCATCTTGCCTCTATGGTTTGGTGCTTATATGTAATAATAACAGTAAGTTACCTTAATCTATTCTTCCCTCCTTCATTCCCACTCCCTTCTCCTCCCCCTCCCCATTTCCTCCTCTCCTCTCCTCTCCTTTCCCCCCTCCCCTCAAAACTGTGCTAGTAAGAGTGCTACTACACACATTCTTTCTGCATTAGTGGCTGTTAATCTATGCAGAAAAAGAATGTGACAGGTTTTAATCTATATTAGTTTTAAAGACATGATTAGAAAAGAACTGAATTTTCATCTTTCAAAACATTAATCAGAATATGAATGATTTATAGAACAATAAAAACAATACAATGATGAATTGATTGAAGGAGTTCTTCATAGCCAGTGAAAATATTTCAGATCTGTGGGTCTTTTGTTTCAGAAGTTACTGCTTGACTTTTTCCCCTAGAATATGGTATTTTAGACCTAAATTTAGCTTGCAGTAAATGTCAAAAATCCTTAGCAGAACTTTGCTGAATGAGGATTTGCATGCAGTATAGAGGCTTAAATAATCCTCTGTGTCAGAATAGGTATGAATTTGAGGAAAATGTCCATCTCCTGCATGGTTTGGTTTTATTTACTGAATTAAATTTAGGCACTACCCAAATCCAAATTAACTCTGGACCGCTCACAATATATGGTTTTTCAGAAGTTGGAAACAGACATATTTTCAACTTACCCAGCAATAGTATATGAAGAAATCATTTTGATGCATCAACATTAAACTATTTTGGCATTAGTGATTGTACTTTGTGGAATACATCAGGAGCTGTAGTACATGACTGGAGAAAGTAGAAGAAGCAAAGTGGCAGGTGGAGATCAAATGTATTAAATACTGGGAGAAAGTGAGTGGTAAAGCAAAAAAGCAACACAGCAGCATCAGAAAGCATGACAGAAATCGCAAGTTTAGGAATATGGGGAAGATAATGTGAAAAATGAGTATACCAGATAGTATCAAAGCATACCAGATAGTATATCAAGGGAAGTTTCAGTGTTTAATTCCCACCACTCCAAAATTAGTGCAGTATTGTCATATCATTGAAAGATGGTGGCACTATTATGAAGCAGATTCTGGGGACGCTAATCAAGAATTGTAGTCTTGCTCTTTGAATATTTTGATAAATTTTAGTAACTCAAAACATAATTAAAACTTTTTTTCTTAGAGGTGTGCATTTGGTTCCAAAGCAAGAAAGGTACTTCATCATAGGCATGCCAGTTTTACCTGCTGGTAATGCCCTTAAGAAGCTATGCCATTTTGTATTCAGACTAGTCCAAAAAAATATAACATGCATGTTAAGGAGGTATTAGCATGCCAGTGTTGGGTTTGAATCACCTTCTACTTTGGATGCAAATGCTGCATATGTCTTATCATAAAAGTGTCAGATTGGATTGTTAGATGAAATTCAACTGGTTTTAAATCTTATGAACATATATTTCCCCCATCTTAGTTATGTTTGCATCTTGTACTTAAAAGTGAGCAAATATTCCAATGAATTAGGAACTATATATTCAAGTGCTGTCCAAATGTGCAAAACGTTGAGTGCAGTGGTGTGAACTAAGTATGCTTTCAATTATTAATGATATAGGAATCTCATTTGGTTCAGTTCCTTGATCTTTTTGATGTGGGTTGTGTATAATAAATATTTTGTTATAGTTATGGAGTCACTAAGAATGAATTAGGTGGCTGTATAAGTTTTTGTAAGTTAATAAATAAATACAAGCAAATCTTCCTGTTCTGCTTTCTTTTCCTAATGTTTCACTAATTATTTGATGCTCTGTAAATACACTGGCAAGTTAAATGTTTTTAGCAATGGCTAGGAAAACCACTTTAAAAGCAGCTATTATTACAGTTATTACAGTGCATTTATTATCATCATTCTATTTCTTGTTGATTTAATTAGTTGAAGTGATGCTTCTGAGAGGAACAGCTGAGCTTCCAAAAGTCCTTTCCAAAATGAAGGAGGTGGGAGTGTCTGTCCCATTGCTTCCATTTCTCACACCTTCCAGTCCATCTGCCTTGAAAGCAAACAAGCTGAATTACTTTAATTTGTGGCTTTTGTAAATCAAGCTTTTCCCTTTCTGCACTTTCCACATGCCACCCTTTTATTCCTTGATGTCTTAACTAGGGCCTCTTGTTGCCTAAGAAATTGGTTAAAGCTGTTAATCTGCAAGTTATAGAGCCATAATATTAGAAATTGGGATTGCTTCTTTATACACTTCTGAGGTTGTAAATTCAGGTCTCAGGAGTTTCTGGATTTTGTGTCTAAATTTCCAATCTATTTTAGGTTTTGCTTCCCCCCCCAGTTTTTGTTCTATCCTGGTAGAAACCTGTGTTTATAGGGTAGAAAGAGGTACTAATGTGTTTAGCTCCTACTGTTTGCTTTCTAGGAACAGAGTCATAAGAGTGTGTGAATGTTCTGCTAGATGAAACTCTGGGTTTTTTCTATTCCCACTTTCTCTTTTTCCAAGCAGATATATGATGCTGCTCAAAAATAGGGCTTACATTATGAGTCTCGGTGCCATGTTTCTGCCCAGGCAGACTTTGTTAAAAAAAAAAAAAAGCAAGAAAGACTTCTTTCCAATCAACAACAATATCTGGTCTCCAAGGGAGAGAAAAAGAGAAAAAAAACACAGGAGCGAAGTTTTGTCTACAAATGTAGCCAGTGGTATTTATTCCGCTACATTGTAGTAATAAAAAACGGAAGGACTTTCCCTTTTTGCCTCTCCTCCAGCCGACGCCATTTTTTAAAAGGCTTTTTTTTTTTTCCTCTTTCTTTTCCTCCTCTCTCTTAAATAATTTCTTTTAAAAAATCAGTAAAATACTTGCAGTTCAGTATTACAGGTCCAGCTCACATTTTCTTTGAGTAGTCTGTTAAATTTGCAGGCTTGCTTTTGACGCCTGGCTCTGCATCAGCAGAGGTCTCCCAAAGCCCGGAGCAGCGGCTGGGGATACGGGGCATCTCATCCGCTCCGTCCCAAAAGTAAAGGAAAAACTTTTGGGACTCTGCAGAGAGTTCTACCCACCCCTGCCGGCTCTATCTCCGTTTCCTCATGGAAACGGAGTTTTTTCGAGCCACCATTCCGTTGTGAAGGCGGCTCTGACAGGCAGTGGAAGCTGACGATCCCGAAGGAACGTCTGGCAGCGACAAACAGCAAACAGGAAGTCTGAGATCTCTGCATGGCCGTAATTTGGGGACGTGAAATGAGCCTTAAACTGATGGATTTGAATTATCCATATTCGAATTTTTTTTTTGTGTTGATATTATCTCGAATTACAAGGCAAGAGAATTATGCTGGGGCATGCGGAAGATCGGGTTGTTACCCACTACGATGATGGGAATTAATAATCCTGATGAAACCCACAATTATTACTATATGGAATATAATTATAATGTCACTCGGGTGGTTGTTTTTACTTTTATATATATAAGAAGATATTTACTACTGATGGGGGCAGATATGATTGAAGATCCTGAATAAACTGTTGCACCAGCAAGCTATGTTACCCGATTATGGATGTTGGTTCTACCAATCCAGTGGAAAGACCTCAAAGAAGATACTATATGGATTATAAATTTAAAGTCATTGTCTTTTCTTTTTTTTTATTTAGATATAATGGAAAATATAGACATATATTTTTAAGTAGTGTGGGCAGTGAATCAAAGATATTAAGAAATGTTGTGTATGGTAATTTTGCATGATAGTGGGTGAATAAGCTAGTTAGTAGATTGATTAGTCTAAGAAAAGGGATTTTTAAGTGATATATTTAGGGGAGTGGAGGAAATGGATACAGTGGAATAAATGTTAAACTAGATTTGATGGGGAAGGCTGCTTTGAAATGTCATAGTAATATACATAGAAGATTAAATGTTAAAGTAGGACTTATTGTATAGTTTTAAAGTGGAGAAGTTATAATGTCATAGTATAATGTCTTTTTTTTTCTTTTTCCTTTTTTTCCCTTTCTTTTCTCTTTTCTCTTTTCTGAAATGTATGGATAAAGGGGGATGTTATAATATTAATAATATTTTTAGTAAGTAAAGGTCAATATCTAGAGGAGGGAGTAAGTAATCTGTTATGAATTAGTTTTTTTTTTGTTATGAAGAAGTCACGGGGGGGATGGGTGGGGTGGGGAGGGGGGGTTAGGGAGGGGGAGGGAGAGGGGGGGAAAAAAAGGGGGAAAAATCTGTATTTGAAAACTTTTTCAATAAAAAAAAAAAAATAGGGCTTACAATTAGCAGCCATCGCCTTTGTTTGTTTCCGATGGTAATCTATTAGAAAAATGCTACTGTGACAGTCTTATTTGCTATCAGAACAAATGATTGATGATCACACAATTAATAAAAACTGCTTTATTCCTTCCTGTTTGATTGGATTACTTTTTCTGGCATCTGTATTATGAATTTACACAATGCTCTTAAAAATGATGCCTGAAGGTCCCTCCAAACCTCCAAAGTTTTGTCCCTCCAAACCGCTTCCTTGGGCCTACCAGATTTCCAATCCATCTGACATGTTAGAGATGTACAAAGCATTTCACATGAGAATATGTAATGTTGTAGGATTTTCCTGTGGAATAGGCTGATATGTGTATCTCTTGGGTTGCTTGGAACAGGAACAACTTTGTGTTCCTAAATGAACATGTTCTGGGGTTGCAGTGTATCCAGAAACCCATATGTTGGGAACTGAACTGATAAAACTCAGAAGGGGTTAACACATTGAACTACATCATATTCTGGATCATCTTCTACAAACATATGAAATAGCTCTGAAATGCATAGAGTAGCCTATAACAACAAAAAAAAAAATAACCTTATAGAGCTGGGTTTTCTTCTTTGGAAACATTTAATAAATAACTACTTTTGAAATATTTAAATTAAAAGAAATGGAAAAGTAACTTGCTGCAAAACAAAGCAGTAGAATCTAGAAGTATCTTTGCAAGATCCAATCTGGGTCAGTCACCAGATCAGGGGTTTTTTGGGTGACTGATCCAGATTTGATTTTGCAACGTTATCCTGGGACACGTATATTTGCTTCCAATAAGTATTTTTGCTTCCAAAAATGGCATTAAGTTTTTCCAAGAGACATGGGTTGGTGTAATGGTGAAGCATCAAGGTACTGGCCTAGAAATTAGGAATCTGGGAGTTCTAGACTTTCATTAGGCATGAAATTCTGCTAGCTAAATTTGGGCTACTCATTCTCGCTGCCTAACCCATTTCACAGGGTTATTCTTATGGGGAAATTGGAAGGTAGGAGTATGAAATATGTTAGTCCCCTTGAGTTATATATAAAAATGTAGATTAAAGTAATAATAATGGAGAAGAACACAAATGTGATAGGAGCTGGAGTTCTATTGCTTTCTTCTGAAATATGTATATCTGTCCAGCAAAAGGTGAAGCAATGAAAATTCTGAAGAATGGGATGAGGGCTCTAGGAGAGGTGACAGAATCTTAATAAATGTTTTGCAAGTAACATTATCCTCATTGCATACATTTTGTGAATAGGAAAGCCTTTCCAGAGTGCCTGTTGTGAAGATACTCTCAAAATGGTCTCATAATTCCAAAATTGCCCAAAACTTTGGAGACCTTTCATCTAAACCTTTTAAGCAGCATACGTAGTGTCATGGGGAAAAAAGAGTGTAGGGGGAAAAAGGAGAATAATAATTATTTTAACTCCTTATCATCTTTGGAGGTATCCTGTACCCTTTGCAGATACTCCTTCCCACCACATTGTTTATATGAGTGATTAAGATTATAAAGTAGCTTGGGAAATCATTACTATAATCTAAAGCTAAGTTTAAAATACAGATGGTCCTCGACTTACAACCACAATTGAGCCCAAAATTTCCATTGCTAAGCAAGACATTTTTTAAGTGAGTTGCTCCCATTTTTACGACTATTTTGCCACAGTTGTTAAGTGAATCACTTCAGAATTATGTGGTTGTTAAGCAAATCTGGCTTCCCCCATTGACTTTGCTTGTTAGAAGCCAGGTGGGAATGTTACCAATGGTGACCATATGACCCTGGGACAGTGAAACTGTCATAAATATATGCTAGTTGCCAAGTGTCCGAATTTTGATCACATGATTATGGGGACGCTGCAGTGATCCCAAAGTCACTTTTTTTCAGTGCCATAGTAACTTCAAACGGTCATTAACCAATGTTTATAAGTCAAGGACTACCTGTACAGTGACTCGTCCCCAAGATGAATTCACCTTTCTCATTTCTTTTAAACAAAGTGCCTTTACTTTTAAACCATTCAATAATAGGAATTATCTGGGCTCTCAAAGAAAAGAATGGCTAGACTCCTCATCTACAACTGATTTGCCTTTGCAGAAGACTCTTTAGCTTTTGATACATAAGTTCCCAGCCACTTGGATATCAGCGGGAATATTATCTGAATTAAGCAACAATTGGTTCTGAGGGCAACAGCCAGTTCCATCTTGCTTCCTCTTCCTCCAGCTTGGCCAACGTACTGGACTCTCGTTCTGGATCTTGCCCTTGGGATTCCCAGAATTGCCTTGATCCCTTGCCACAGTAATGGCAAATAGAGGGCAGCCAGGAAGCGAGCCCACATGAGCAGCCCAGCTGGAGACCACAAGTTTTTCTCTCACCTGAGTCTGTGGGCCTCTGCCTCTGAGGAAAAGGGAGAATTTAAGAACCAGTTCAGAAGATCCAATCGAAAACATCTAGATGGATTATCAGGATTGCTGATCATTACCATACTTTTTAGAGTATAAAATGCACTTTTTTCCCTCCTAAAATAAGGTGGAAATGTTGGTGCATCTTACACACCAAATACAGCCATTTTTGCCCTACTGAAGCCCCGCCCTGTGCGTCCCATTTTTGCGAGAAACGGGCCTGTTTTTCACAAAAATGGGGCGTGCAGAGGGTTTGGGAGGCCTGCAGAGTGCTCCTGTGGGCTGGGGAGGGCAAAAATGCCTCTGTTTTTGCAAAAACAGGCCCATTTTTGGTCTCCCAAACCCTGCACGCGTCGCATTTTTGTCCTCCCCAGCCCCCAGGAGCACTCTGCAGGCCTCCCAAACCCTCTGTGCGCCTCGCGAAAATGCCTATGGAGGGCCAAACTTTTTTTTCTTGCTTACCTCTTCAAAATCGGTGTCTTATATGCCGGTGCATCTTATAGTCCGAAAAATACAATAGTTTATCATGAGTCACAAGAATTTGTGTAAGGGTCATTATAGCAAAGATGGCTGCTGACTTATGTGTCTTCCTCTGATTTTCTTCCTCTCTCCAGGAAGGATACTTATCGAACCCCAAAAGTCTGTGGGAAAGCTACCCTCATGTTCATCTCCCGTAAGTATTTAATGCTTTGGTAATTTTTTATTTCTACTTTTCAAGAGAGCCACAGCATAACTATTGTACAACTGAACAAAACCACTTCCTTCCTCTTGGCTATCTGAGGTCAGCAGTGAGTAATGGTGGCAAAAACAGGGCATTCAGGGCTTCAGAGCTTCTAAAGCAATCTCATAGCTCCCTCGTGTGAATAATCCCAAGATTGCAAGCACAAACCTAGCTTTTTTAAGACATCCCAAGCTCCAAGAGATGCAGAGTCTATCTAGCAGTGAGGAGGCACCTCACGTTTCTGAGAGGAACAGGAGTTGTATTGGATAGAAGGATGAGACAGGGTAATTACAGACACTTGACACATCTGGGTAAGACTGGAGTTTTCTCTTTTCTCTCTCTCTCTCTCTCTCTCTCTCAGGTTTATTTTAGTTTTATGACAAAATGGCAAGAAGAGCACCATTGGCTAAATGGAGAAGTGGGATGACTCTACCCATGTATGTCTTTCTCCATTTAATGCACTGTCAACAGCTTCACAAAGAGCATACAGCTAGGAAAGAAAAGGTGGTACTCTTGACGTTGATCTAAAAATGATAGTAATATAAGTCATGTACATACGAAGAAACAAGCAGTTTCTTAATATGCTTCTTAATATCATTTCTTTGCCCTCCAAGAATTGTTCATGCTTTATGACAACTCCAAGGGAGAAAGTGTTCCAATTAAGAATTTTATAGTGCAAGCAAAGAACTTTACAGGTGTTGACTTCCAGTTGTAATCCTCCCTTGTTTGGTTATTACTCTGGTAACTTTTTCTAGTGATTATTTTACCAGAAGCCAAGTACCATATCATGCATTACATTTTTCCAAAACAAATTTCTCTGCATGAAAAGAAGAAATGAAAAGAAATGTATATTTCCCTGTATGTAGCCTAGTTCAGAAATAAATCTCTATTGTTTAACAGACTTCTCTAACAATGTGCCTTTCATTAAATCCTAAAATTCAGTGAGCCAAGTTGACCTCAACCATATCTGAAGCTCTTATTATTTCTCCTTATACTTCAAGGATTTTTAAACTTTTTAAAAGGACTTTAATCTTTCTTTTGTGGGTAGACGCAGCAGCAAAATAAGCCACTAGTATTTAAAGTCATTGAGTTAGTTGGTATTCCACAGATAGGTAGAAAGATTTTAACTTGTCCAGAAGATTCTCAGAACAGAAAATAGAAGTAAGATCTTCCTAGTCTGAGGACTTTTGGTAGCACTTGTCTCTGGGGCATAAATATCTTTCATTATTCCTACTGCTAAATATTATTAATATGCTTGGTTGCCTCCTGATTCTACATGTATATCCTTTGGATACAGTGTGTAGTTTGAGACAGTGACTATATTTAGCCCAGGGTTCCTAAAGTTTTTGTCCTATAAGGAACTAAACAATTGCATTGAATTAAAATTGACTGCCACTAATGTTGTGATTCCTGTTTATAAAGTCCAGCAAAAGCTCATGCCCATTATATAGATAACAACCTGTTCAAGCATGAAACTTGCATCTCTTCCTAGAGAAAGCATAATAATATAATGTGGATATATGCTTCTCTGTATGTGGAATCAAAATACAGTGGGGTATTGCATACAATTAGCAAAAATAGCTTGTTTCCCTTCTCCTTCCATCATAGAAAGAAATTACGGTACAAATAACACCACTGGTGCTTGGTAATTTAATTATTTGTGAGTAGAGTAGGTATTACCAACTACTGTAGGAGGCTACATATTGATGGATAATTGCTATATTCCAAAGTAAATTTGTTGCTGTTTCCTAAAACAACTTCACAGCAGGCTGCTTCCTAAAGAGATGTTCATAACACAGTAGGAAGAACAGAAGAAATATTTACAGTAACTGTTTGCTCAATGCTATTATTTGTTACATTCTAGGTTCCAGGTTAAGTTTTTCTACCTTTGTCAGTTGTCCTACTGGCTGCATACATTGCCTGAATTATATTTCCAGAAGGTGCGAAAGGTGAGTGCCAACTCAAGGAGCTTTCTCTTCACGCTTAACTTTAAGATATGTTTCAAAGGCTGAAATAATTACCCCCAAATTCACTACTACAAAACTGTTCTTTTGTAGTATAAGTATACTACCACTTCTCCACCTACAACAGGAACCCCTAATATTAGTCCATTAGCAAATTGGTTAAATAAATGCATAATCCGCCAGTGTGGCAGAAAATACAGGGAGCTTCCCTGCTCCTGTAGCTCAGACAGAAACCAAACTGCCGGACAGAATCATTCTCCTCTACTCAGCTATAATATTACCATGATAACTCACAGGATCAGGTTGAACAGAAGGTTTTGAAAATGGATTCATATAATGCTTATGAATAATCCTGATTCTAATCCCCAGTTGCTTTAGGAGCAATTTAAGATAATGCAGATATATACAACCAGTTTCCTATATTCTTAAAATTAACACTGACTTTTCCTTATTTCCTAGGAAGAAATTCCACGTCAGCTGCAATATATCACCCTTTATCTAGTGCATATATCAGGAGCATATCTCTTAAAGTAAGTGTTACTGAGCACTTTTACAGTATATGTGGTACCTCTCTCAATAGTAGTAACTGAGAGAGGGATCTTGGAGTCCTAGTGGACAACCATTTAAATATGAGCAAGCAGTGTGCAGCAGCTGCCAAAAAAGCCAACACAGTTCTAGGCTGCATAAACAGAGGGATAGAATCAAGATCACATGAAGTATTAATACCACTTTATAATGCCTGGTAAGGCCACACTTGGAATACTGCATCCAGTTTTGGTTGCCACGATGTAAAAAAGATGTGGAGACTCTAGAAAGAGTGCAGAGAAGAGCAACGAAGATGATTAGGGGACTGGAGGCTTAAACATGAAGAACGGTTGCAGGAACTGGGTATGTCTAGTTTAATAAAAAGAAGGACTAGGGATGACATGATAGCAGTCTTCCAATATCTCAGGGGCTGCCACAAAGAAGAGGGAGTCAAGCTATTCTCCAGAGCACCTGAGGGCAGGACAAGAAGCTATGGGTGGAAACTAATCAAGAAGAGAAGCAACCTAGAACTAAAGAAAAAATTCCTGACAGTTAGAACAATTAATCAGCGGAATAACTTGCCTCCAGAAGTTGTGAATGCTCCACCATTGGAAGTTTTTAAGAAGCTATTGGATAACCATTTGTCTGAAGTGATGTAGGGTTTCCTGCCTAAGCAGGGGGTCGGACTAGACGACCTCCAAGGTCCCTTCTAACTCTGTTATTCTGTTTTCTGTTACTTTTCTTAATACACCAGGTTAACTGGAAGACTATGAGTTCCAGTCCAGATTTAGGCACAAAAGCTGTCTCTGAGTGACTTTGGACCAATCTCAAACTGTTACATTTTTTAAAATATAAGTGTTTTCGGAAACAAATGCCATTGGCTTTAGTCCATATTGCACATATCATGTTATTTTCATTTAGGAGTTGCAGGTGTTCGATAAAACACATCAGGATTCATTGATGGATTTTGTAAGGGAAGGGTGAGCTATGATTTATTAACACTTCTGTCCATCATCCATACCTAGTTTTGCTCACTCATAGAGTTTTCATGGAGAAAGTTCAACAAACAAACATTTTTCCTCCTTGTCTCTAGCCTCACACGCCTGGGACTAATCTTGTTGCTGCTGCAGTATGTTGCTGAATTCCTCTTCCACATGGCTCGCCTTTTTTATTTCACAGATGAAAACAATGAAAAGTTGTAAGTGCTCTTGGATGAACTTTGGATAATGTGGCCAAAGAATTGTTTTAAAATTCACCAGTAAACTTTTTTGTAATCCTGGAGCTGGATTGTCCTTTCTAATGTGCAGTATCATGTTTTACTGCTAAAATAAAGCAACTGCTAACATAACTTGAATATGATGGCTTATTAGCTTGGGAATAAAATTCCTTTTTCTACTAAGTAGGAAAAACCATAGATTTAAATCTATGAGGATAAAGAATTACATGGACAATTTTTTTGACTCAAACATTCAATACTTGATGCAAATCTGTTTATCAAAAATGAGATGATTGATCTCAGCTTTCGATGTTACTGGAAGATCTGCATTCTGAGTGATTGATATGTCAGATCTTCTGATGCAGGAGTCGAGTTACTTTGACAATCTTCCAGAGAACAGCGCATAGTGACAATTGCTATAAAGTGAAATATGACACATTTTAATGCAAGAATCTTTTTTTTTTTAATTTCATAAGGTTTAATGCATGGGCAGTAGTTTTTGTCATCTCACGACTTTTCACCCTCACCCTTTCTGTGCTGGTCATTGGCTTTGGGCTGGCTCGAGTGGAGAACCAGGCATTTAACCCTGAAAAAGGAAACTTCAACACTTTGCTTTTCAGGTAAGTTTTTTATGAGTTCTGGGTGCTGAAGAAAGATGGCTTGGGGCCTTGATGATTAGAAAAAAATAGGGATTGTCATTTCATCTCTCTGTTCATTTAGAATAGATGTAATTATTCACATTACTTACTCATGATAAATAGATTGGGGAAAAGTAACAGCATTATTGCTTCTTCTTCTGTACATATTTCTTTAGTAAAAATGGTTGCCTTGATGGCTTTAATGTTGTTAACTAGTACAGTGACACCATTGTTGGTAGGGGATTGGCCTTTGTTGAGGAATCCCCTCTTCACTACTGTTTTAAAACTGATGGACAAAGCAATCCTGGCTAGGGGGAAATTGCTTTGTAGCATTAATTTTGATACACTGCTTAACCAGGATTAATATCAATAGGAAGGCATGTAAGGAACTCATTCTAGAAAGGGGTGGGCATGAAGTCTCGCATAGCCCAGCCCAATCTTCTGTGATTGACTAATCATAAAGTAATCATAAAAATTAATTGGTCACTATTTTGTTACATTCCTGGATTTTTATTGCATACAAAAAATGGGTGTGAAGAATATGCTTAAAGCTATTATATATAACAATGATATTATTATAGAACTCATGTTCTAGGTAAATGAAGACAACAAGTTTAAAGTAATAAGCTTGATAATTTGTTGTGCGAATCTGAATAAAGACAGCTACCATATTTTAAAGATTTTAAAGATTTTGTGCATAGTTGCAGAGCAAAACAAAAATCCTACCTACCAATATACAAGTAGACTATAGAGAGGGCCCGGTTTCTTAAACCTCAATTTATCTTATCTTAAGTCATTCCAAAAAGAAAACCATTTCTTAGACAGTTAAATTGCTTTAACTTGTGGGATTGGTCTTGACTTTTGCAGTAAAGCTTTACCATCCCTCCTGCTGACCATGCTTATTTCCCTGGGGAAGTTGTAATGCTAAACAGGGTCACTGGTTCCTGCCATTAATGGCAGAGAAACAGCCATCTCTTCCCTGTTTCTCAGTTAACAGAGGGCTGATCAAGTGATCATTGAGGAAGAGTGAACAAGGCTCCCCCGTGGCTCACCCCTGAAGGAGCTGTGACTGCATGCAGGTGATGATTCTCACCCTAGAACAGACCAGATCCAAATGTGCTTATTCCAAATATGTTTGCCTTGCCTCCTCCTAGGATGGGCGTGTTGCTTCTGGTGTGTTTCTCACAGGCCTGGATGATGTGGCGCTTCATTCATTTTCAGTTGCGACGCTGGCGTGAATACTGGAATGAGCAGAACACTAGAAAAAGGGTTCCAGCCACTGTCCACTTCAAACAGCAAGTAAAGACAATGAAAAGGGAATCTGGTGAGCATCCGGCCCGATTGACCATGTACTAAAGCTGCAGAATGCCTCTTATTAATCAGTTCAATTGCTAAATGTTGATGGGCTAAAATAACTAATTGGGAAGTAGATTTTTAATTAAATACTTTAATAAAAGTATTTAATAAGAATGAAAAATTACAAGAACTGAGTTTCCTACATAGGAAAAAAATATCAAAGATTTGGAAGCAGGGGAGAGGAAAGGTCTCCTTTAAGCAATGGACCTTCTGTGACTTACACCTAGTCACCCAGCACCAAAGCGTGTGCATTTCATTCAAAGAATTATTTCCATGAATATGCAATACAGTTTAATTTACTTTTATTATACATATAAAAGGCAGTGATGAATAATATAATGCATATCAATATGCAAATATTTTGTTGAATTAAAGCATGTAAATAAGTGACTTATGCTGGCTCAAGGTTTTTGGTTCAGCAGTGGCATCAGTGCTACTGCTATGCTAGCAATACTTCCTGTGATGCTGCTTCTATCTACTTTATTGTGTTGTGGGTTATGCGAGGGAGCCTCTTTCACTGTGATTTCACTCAGTAGTTCTGCTAGCTGAAGATTCTAGGGAATTCAGTCCTACACATTTGGGGAGCACAAGGTTGGGGAAATCTGCAGTGGGCAATGAGGTGACATGACATTTCTGAAGAAGACTGCGTCGCCATGTCCTAACTGGAAGCCTCTTATCAGCTACCACTGTCTCTCTTTCAAGAAACATGATAGAGAAACCAATCTATTAAAACAAAATTCTCGTTATTATTCCCCTTCCCCACTCTCCATTACAGGTTACCATGAAAATGGAGTAGTAAAGGCAGAAAACGGTACCTCACCACGGAACAAGAAACTCAAGTCTCCGTAGAGCCAAAGCACAGCCGACATGGGATGTTTGAGGAGGAGACAGAGGTGCAAGAATGAGGACTCTGGAAATATGAAGCACCTTCCTCTCTTCTGTCCTCACAATGCTCACCTCAAGTGATGTGCCCACAGAGTGAACAAGCTCACTTTCTCTCCTCCCCCATCCTCATGTCTTTCTGTCTCTGTCTCTTTTTGCAATAACCAAAAGGCCTTCATCCTTGACAGAGAGGCTTAAGAACACCAAAAGCTTTTCCTTGTCCTGTTGTGTATTGTGCAATTCAAAAAAAAAAAAAAGTTTTGCTTGTTTTCATGCCCCCAGAAATGTGGTGGGGGGGGGTTAGAACTCTGTTCCCAACATACCTTTTTTCTCCTTCACTTCCTTACATCTGTTTTTTGGCTTGGAGCTATTACAGCTTTAGCCCATGATGGAATTTGGTTCTGAGAGTAGATTTGGGGAACTGTAAATTCTGGTTTCTCTAGAAAATGCACTCTTGCAAGGATAGGTTTTGAAAGAAATGCAGTTTTAGTCCTGTTCAAAGAGCATCCTCTAATCTGAATTCTGTAATTATGTTACCCATTCAGTAAGCTTTGTAAAATGGTTAGGATACCATTTCCTAACATGATGGAAAGATACAGATGGTTACTTTTATCTGTTTGTGATTTATCATGCTCAGTTTTCAAAGTTAAAGTTTCATTTGTAGCTTTAGCTACCTTCTGAAGACTGGAACAGATATGGTCCTCTTTCTTATCTTTCTCTTCTGGTCCTAAAACAGAATTAATGTTTTCTTGGAAACAATTGAATTTTCCTTAAAAAAAGGAGAATGTACTTGTCCTGTCAGTATAGTATGAGTGAAGTATGATTTTCATCTTCATTGGCTTAGGAAGTTTCAGCCTATAGCATCTTGAGGGAAGGGAGAAGTTTCTCCATTCATTTAAAAAGGAGCTCAGGGCATTTTTACTAGTGAAGAAGAGAAGACACGTTCACAATAGGATAATATCTTTCATGTTGAAGATTTTATCTGTTGACTTTCTTAAGGAAGTGCTAGTGTAGCCTTGTTGTTTGAGTCATTCATGTTTAACATCATCCAATCATAGAATAGTAATATTTTGTCTATGAAATGTATTCCTATGCATATTTTCTGAGAAGTAAATTCCAGCAAATTCAGATAGGCTTATTCCATTTCATTGTGGTATAGAATTGCAATCTGTCATTTGTTTTCCCAAGCATCTCTTTTTCTAAGTTGCATCTAATAGGTTCTGAATCCACACCTGTCATGGTGTTCTTATTTCTACAACTATAGAGATTGTTTTTATTCAGATTGAAGGCAATTTAGTTCCTAGTTGCTTAGTAGGTTCAATGAGGTTCAATTATGAAAGATAGGGGAGGGGAGAGAAGGAATAATGTCTCAAAAGGGGAGAGCACAATTTGTAAAGCTGGTGGATGATATTAAAAAGTGAAATCTACCTCGGAAGCCACCCATTCCTACATTTCTTTTAATTAACTTGATTTGGCACCTACAAAAAATTGGGGTTGTTCAAACAAAACTTTTAGAGTTACTTTGTACATCTTTAATGTTTTTTGTTTTAATGAAAAGTGTCTACTGTTCTCCTTTGTGTATGCTTAAACATATTTTATTCAGCAGAGTTGCTTCATGACTATGTCTTGTTTTAAGCCCAAGTGTAACTGGATCATCTTACAATGTTGTTCTGCTTTTTAAATAATACAAAGAAGAAACTTTGGATTTCAATGCTCTTTTGCCATAATTTGGAATAGAAATATCTATTTCATTAATAGATTGAATGAAATCAATAGAATACATACTTAGTGGTAGGGTGTCCCAGGATTTGACCCAACTACTCCTTTTTGTGAATGCTTTTATTGTGTCTAAAGTAGGTCTGCATAAGTTAAGACCTGCCAAACCAAATACATTAGCCATGAGTTTCATCCTGCCAGAGCATCTCTGGTTTGCATTTAGATCAACTGTTAAGAGGGATTGCTGCAGTCTTAGCAGACAGCAGTGCATGATTAATGAGTAGCAGTAAGTGTCATGAGTCAGGCTTAGCTGTAAAATTTGGGGGGACTTTAAGAGGTGAAGAAGACTCTATAAACTGCTTACAATATTTGTATCTCTGAAGAATCATTTGTCTCTTTTTATCCCTCTTGTAATGGACTTTAATGCTGCTTGGCACTACTTGATACTGTACAGAGAGCTATTTTTCCCCCCACCAAAATCTTGAAATGTTCAGATCAGAGCCCTTCTGAGCTGAAATCAACTATACCATAGTGTGCCTGTCATTCCTTAGCTCTTATTGAGTTCTAAATATACCTCATCTGTATCATTTTTATACAGGAGTGAAGGAGTAAACTGGGTTAGGGATGGTGCTAAGTAGGTCAGATATGGTGAGCCAACTTACATGCTTATGTGAATGTGATAACTTTATTGCTTGCGCCTAACGGAAAGCCCACCACTATTGCAAAGCAGATATGTATGGCTTCTATCACCAGAAGGACTACTCTTGGGCCTCTATGGCATGTTGATGATCATCTTGCAATAGTAGGTGTAATAAAATTGCCCTGATTTTTAAGTGTTTTGAGTCTCTGGAAACATAATGAATTCACTGCACTCTTTTCAGTTTTTCCCCAAAGCTACCAAAATGCAAAATAAAATAAAATAAAATAAAATAAAATAAAATAAAAATCCAAATATTTTACTTGCATCTTTTTGGGAGTGCTTTGGGGGTCCCAAAATATATGTGCAATTTGTAGGCTTTCTTATACACCAATTCTTTACATCATCACCAATTCTAAATTGGAATTCCTTATCCTTTTTGTTAATTCTGATCTTAGTTAAATGGAGCTTTCTGACTTTGCACCAAACTCAGTCAAAAGACTTAGGTTTCCCAAAGAACTTGTTCTAGAAAGCTGCAAAAAAAGCCTCCAAACAGGCCTTACCTTGACCCAGTTAGTTCAACTCCTTTCATCCAGCACCAGGTTTTCAATTGTAGTACAATTTTGTGCAAGTGCCTTACATTATCAAATAGACTTTCCAATCTTTTTATCTTTAATATTGGTTTTTCTTTGTATATGTATTGTTGTAGTTCACTTATACTGTATGCACTAGTTTAGCTATTCAAAAAGGGGGCAGCTTTTGCTGGATGCTTTGCTTCAATTTCTATGCCTTTTTGACCATAAGTAGTTGCTTGATAAGTATAATTGTTGGAACTATTCTAGATGCAAGAATCTCTTTTGTAATATGGAACAATCCATAATATCACAAACATTTTCATAGCAGACTAGATGTTCTTGGTTTTAATTTTGAATGTGTCATTGTAGTTCTAAAACTTTTTGAACAACTGCTTTTGAGCATCTTTCACAGCGTCTGTTGCTAGAATTAGATGTTCTGCTTAGTTTTGTAATTATTTAGGAACAGGGCCTTTAAAAAACACTATGCGGTCATTGAAACTGCAATTCTAAGCAAAAGTTATACATACGTAAGACATCACCAATTTGTGCCACCTTTTATGGAGAATTGCCTTTTACTTTGGGTGCTTTCATTCTCAAAATAAAAGATCTTGGTGTTACAATACAAGTGAAAATAACTTGGTGGGAGTTATCTTTCCTCTCCAGCACTAATGGTCTGTTTCAAATTGCTGTCTCAGTAGATATTGTGTGTGGATCTAAAGAGAGACAACCCACCAACACAAATGGGATTTTAACCTAAGGTTGCCTTTGTATGAGTAAGCATACACTAAGCATCTCACTCTAAATTAAATAATAAGAGCCTGAATCTTAATTTACTTGGTTCTTCTATACTCTGCTTCTCCCACTACTCAATTAAAAAAGGTTGTATCGATTTATGATCTGTTGTGAGTGATCTCATCTTGAGGGAAAGAAATGGGAAAAAGTAGTTCTCTATAATGTAATTATATTTGTTTGGGTTGGGGCAACATCATTAGCTCTGGGACTTATTTTTCCTTTAACACAGGATTAAGTGCGGAGAACCTCATAGTGCCTTTCCTTTCTTTCTTGTTCTAGGTCAAGGGTAAGCAAATGTTTTGGGTCAAAGTATGTTTGGAATTTTGAGAATATATGCTGAGCATGTTTGCAGAATGAGTGTCAGGTTAGATATGGTCGGTCACAAAATACCCATTTAACAAATGGTGAACTAGCCCCCAGATATTATTTGTTACCCCTGTGGGACCTCAGGGTTGCAGATAATGCTAGAGGCTGGTGCTTCACTTTAAAGTATGCCACCTTCCCAATTTTATTAATTTTTTTAAAAATTGAAACTGTTTTTAAAAAGTTAGGAAGCAAGATGGGGTTCAAGAAGTTGCAATGGACACAAATTTGCTTATCCCTGGCCTAATAAAGTTTTGTAGCATAATATTGAGATTTAACTAAGCGTTCCAAAGCTCAGTAAGTAGTAAATCTTTGTGATTTTGGAAATAGTATATGGTTTGCTTTTCTTTGAACTATCCATGGGATAAAGCAGCTAGCAAAATAATTAAATGTCCTACCCATACAATTTTTTTAGGCTTTGTTTTTTAAACAAATTGTAGTGTTATGTAAAATGCATTGTGAAGGTTGCAAATAATTTGCTGTCAGTCTGGTTGAAATTAAGATTTTGTTCTGTTTCTGATACTATTAAGTGGAAAACCGTTTACCTCTATACATTCTTTTGTGTCTTCCAGAAGAAGAAAAAAATCTTTATTATCCTGAAACCACAGCTACATCAGGGTTATTTCTAAGGGCTTTGTTTTGTTGACCTTCTTCAGAAATTAAGTATTATAATTGTTCTACAAATGACAGTATAGTGCAGAAAATGTTATATTAGAAGTGTACATGGCTGGGTTTTTTCCCATTAGTAATTCTAATTATGGACCAAATCTAAGCCTAATTTTGCATATTTAAATTTAATCTTGTTGTCTCCTGGTTTGCAGGGAGGGAAGGGACAATTTTGGGGGATATTTTTTTTCTCAACATTTTATTCCCACCATTGAAAAATCCAATTTGTTTATGATTTTTTTGTTATTGTTAAAGTGCTTTTATGAAAGCAATCTGTGATACAACTATTTTTCTGAAATAAAAAAGGCATAGAATGATGAAAAGTACCATTGTTCATTCACTACTAATTTATTCTTCGCCATGAACTATGCAAATATGGTTCTTAACCAGCTTGGTGTTCATTGCTGCAGGCTTCCTGCTTGCCTGGCTGAGTAATATCAGAATATTTGAACATGTTTGAAACTCCTATGGAATATGCTGAGATTGTAAGAAGTCCCAAAGAAGAAAATTCTGGACAGAACAAGTGTAGTGGCTCTGTTGAAACATATAAGATAAAGCTTGCTTGGTTCTTATATGTAAACTTAAGTAAGTTTTATCCTTTCTTAAATGAAGGCTTATAATTTTATTTGCTTCAGGCAACAGAAAGGAAATCATATTAATAACAGACTGCCATTAAATATCCGTGTCCCCCCCCCCTCCCCGCCCCCCCCCATCCCCCTCGCTTTAGGGACTGGAAAGTTCTAAATTCTGAGGTTCTTGTAATACATGTTTTCAACTTCACTGGGGCATAAGATGAATGATTAAGGGATTTAACTTTTCTGTGCATTTGTTATAATAATAAAATAAATTTACATGCCACCCGATGCAACTCCAGATGGTTTACAAATTGTTAAAAACATTTTAAAACAAGTAACAACCCAATTCTGGATGGAAACAAAGAAAGAAAAGGAGTGTCAATTGCACTCACTGAAGGCCCCAGTGAAAAGCCACACATTTGGAGTGAGTAGTGTGAGAGTCATACAAATCTCAGGGGGACCGCATTCCAGAACACAGGCGCTGCTACAGAGAACACACTTCCAGGGACCTGAAAGATGGAACCCAGAGCACGCCAACCCTGCCAGACTGAACCAGCTGGGATATACTCTGGGAGACAGGCATATTGTTCATAACTGATAAAGTAGGTCTATTACTAAAGGACTAAAGGATAGTTACATTGACACAGAAGCCCACAAGTGTCATTTGCTTCCCAGGTAATAAAATTAAGATCTACCCATAATTATATGAATTGAGATAACCACCCTCACTCTACTAGAAGGATCAGAGCTATAATAGACTCTTTTTGTCAAGTAATCTGGACAAAATCTTTTTGTCAAGTAAGTTGAGTATATGGTAGAAAAAGGAAGGAATACCAGAGCAGCTTTCAATAATTAGCGTTTTTAATTGAAATTGATCTTGTACAGCTGGTAACTGCTAGTTTCGAACTAATCAACACTGGAAAGCTCTGAGGAAGTCAGGGTATCTTATCTGATTTTCCCCATGAGAACACATTTTAATAAGCTGAAAAAAAAAAAAAAAGAGAGAGAGAGAGAGAAATCAATGAAAAGTTGCAAATGCTGTACTTTCATGTTTTTAAAATTGCCACATGTCCTAAGAGCATGTACAGTTAATCTGCAGTAGTAAGATTTTTTGTTTCTAATCTTCAGAGTAGGCTGTTTCCTTTTTTAATATTTTTTTTTTAATTGCTGGATGGAGTATGTGAAAACACAGACATAATAGGCTATTGGGAGAAGGAAACAATTCCAAATGCCTTCCAAATATTGAAATAATGCAATTTTACCCAGATAATTTTTTAATCACATTTCTTTCTTTTTCATTCTTACATTTCAATTTCGTTTTCAAATCTATTACTTGTTACAAAATCCAAACAAAGTCCCTGCTATTCAAATAAAATCTGATATCTAAGTAGCATACTTGTTAAAGTGGGGGGAAAAATCAGGGGTAATCAATGTTCTTTTAAACTGAAACAAAAATGAATAACAATAGGATTTGTAATGAACATGTACAATTAAGTTAAATACAGATTGTCTTTGAGTTATGATGATTTATTCAGTGACTGTTTGAAGTTACAGCAGTGCTGAGCAAATAGTATTTATATCCGGTCTCTGAAGTTATGGCTGTTGCAGGGCCCCCGTTCACCAGTGATCAAAATTCAGGTGTTTAGCAGTCCACCTACACAACTTCAGGGACACTTTAACACTCGTCATCCACCTATCTTCCCCATTTCTGCCCTTTTGGCTCTCTGTTCTCCACAGCCCCTGCCTCTGGGCTCCACCACCCTACCTGAACTTTACCATATTCTTGCTCCCACTGTTGACCTAGAATGCCCGGGCTTTGCAAGGTTGTTGCTGCTAGCCACATGAGGCTTTTCCCAATTCACAAGTTGCAATATCCCTATGAGACCTGGGCAAGAAGGCCTCAAGTGGCCAGGCAGCAGCAGCAGGAAGACAGCAAAGTTCAGCTACAGCACCAGGGACTTTGAATGCAGGGTCACTTAAGCTGGGTTGGCTGGAGTTTCTTGGGACAGCTGGGGCTTTGCATCACACTGCTGGGCAAGGCTGTGGCTTCCCAAGGTGGCTGCAGCTCAAGGATTTCTTGCAGCCTCTGAGCTGCAACATAGCAAGCAGTCCACAACTGTGAGGTTCTGAAGCTGCTTGCCACCCCACAATACAGGGTGCAGGCTGACCCAGAGGGCAGAGATTGGGGGAATACGCAGTTGGGAGAGGAGTTGTAGGGAAGGGAGTCCCTTACCTTGTAAGAACCGAGGCCTGGGGCTGAGAAGGATCAAGCTGGGATTAGGGTGGATCCTTGATTAATGACCAATGGAATTTAGTTAATGACGGCAATGGTGAGTGCCAGAATTGTTGCTAAACAACGTGGTCCCATGATGTCAAGTTTTAGAACTACATTGCTTAGCAATGAAATTCTCCCATCATATCTATTTGTAAGTAACAATCTGGAAATGACTTTGGAACATTTTACCTAAATAATTAGTGCTCCAAATGACAATTATCACATAATAAATCACCAGTACTGGGACTCAAATAAGATAAATCAATTTTTAAAAACATGGAATGCCACAGACTAACTGCAAAAGCATATCATATAATAATACCTAAATTGTGAGTATATAAAGGGATTTCAGAAAATGGCTAATACAAACCACTCTAAATTCTAAATTCTAAAATTTGTCACTTCTAAACTCCTAACAGAAATCAGGCAAGTGACACTCATGAAAATATGCAGTAACTTCCCACTGCATTGATAAACTTAGAAAAATTCTATTAATTACAACATGAATTGGCAAGAAATCTCTATATAAAGATACATTCCAGATTGAAGAGCCTTGGTAGTACAGTGGTCTAAGGCACCCTGTTATTAAGCTGGTTATTAAGACCAGCTGCCTGCAATTACTGCAGGTTCGAATCTCGCCAAGGCTCAAGGTTGACTCAGCTTTCCATCCTTTCTAAGGTAGGTAAATTGAGGACCCAGTTGTGGGGGCAATAAGCTTTGTATAAATATACAAAAGGATGAAGGCTATTGCTGAGCACATTGTAAGCCGCCCTGAGTCTCCGGAGAAGGGCGGCATATAAATCAAATAAAAAAAAAAATGTAATTCTCCATGATATACATTCAGGTCCAGAAATATTGGGACATCGACACAATTCTAACATCTTTGGCTCTATACACCACCACAATGGAGTTGGAATGAAACAAACACAATGTGCTTTAACTGCAGACTGTCAGCTTTAATTTAAGGGTATGTACATCCAACTCAGGTGAACGGTGTAGGACTTACAGCAGTTTGCATATGTGCCTCCCACTTGTTAAGGGACCAAAAGTAATGGGACAGAATAATAATCATAAATCAAACTTTCGCTTCTTAATACTTGGTTGCAAATCCTTTGCAGTCAATCACAGCCTGAAGTCTGGAACACATAGACATCAGCAGACACTGGGTTTCATCCCTGGTGATGCTCTGCCAGGCCTCTACTGCAACTGTCTTCAGTTCCTGCTTGTTCTTGGGGCATTTTCCCTTCAGTTTTGTCTTCAGCAAGTGAAATACATGCTCAATGGGATTCAGGTCAGGTGACTGACTTGGCCATTGCATAACATTCCACTTCTGTCCGTTCAAAAACTCTTTGGTTGCTTTTGCATTATGCTTTGGGTCATTGTCCATCTGTACTGTGAAGCGCCGTCCAATGAGTTCTGCAGCATTTGGCTGAATGTGAGCAGATAATATTGCCCGAAACACTTCAGAATTCATCCTGCTGCTTTTGTCAGCAGTCACATCATCAATAAATACAAGAGAACCAGTTCCATTGGCAGCCATACATGCCCACGCCATGACACTACCACCACCATGCTTCACTGATGAGGTGGTATGCTTAGGATCATGAGCAGTTCCTTTCCTTCTCCATACTCTTCTCTTCCCATCACTCTGGTACAAGTTGACCTTGGTCTCATCTGTCCATAGGATCTTGTTCCAGAACTGTGAAGGCTTTGTTAGATGTTGTTTGGCAAACTCTAATCTGGCCTTCCTGTTTTTGAGGCTCACCAATGGGTTACATCTTGTGGTGAACCCTCTGTATTCACTCTGGTGAAGTCTTCTCTTGATTGTTGACTTTGACACACTTACACCTATCTCCTGGAGAGTGTTCTTGATCTGGCCAACTGTTGTGAAGAGTGTTTTCTTCACCAGGGAAAGAATTATTCGGTCATCCACCACACTTGTTTTCCATGGTCTCCCGGGTCTTTTGGTGTTGCTGAGCTCACCGGTGCATTCCTTCTTTTTGAGAATGTTCCAAACAGTTGTTTTGGCCATGCCTAATGTTCTTGCTATCTCTCTGATGGGTTTGTTTTGTTTCTTCAGCCTAATGATGGCTTGCTTCACTGATAGTGACAGCTCTTTGGATCTCATCTTGAGAGTTGACAGCAACAGATTCCAAATGCAAATAGCACACTTGAAATGAACTCTGGGCCTTTTATCTGCACATTGTAATTGGGGTAATGAGGGAATATCACACACCTGGCCATGGAAAAGCTGAGAAGCCAATTGTCCCATTACTTTTGGTCCCTTAACAAGTGGGAGGCACATATACAAACTGCTGTAAGTCCTACACCGTTCATCTGAGTTGCATGTACATACCCTCAAATTAAAGCTGACAGTCTGCAGTTAATGCACATTGTGTTTGTTTCATTCCAACTCCACTGTGGTGGTGTATAGAGCCAAAGATGTTAGAATTGTGTCGATGTCCCAATATTTCTGGACCTGACTGTAGGACATATAACATTTAACATTGGAGGTTTTTAAGAAAAGATTAGACAGCCATTTGTCCACAATGGTATAGGGTCTCTTGCTTGGGCAGGGGTTTGGACTAGAAAACCTCCAAGGTCCCTTCCAACTCTATTATTCTGTATTCTATTCTGTATTATGCCACAATTATCTTTTTTATCGGTACTATAAAGAAAGAAATGAAAGCAAATGTATAGCCACAATGATTTTAGATTGGTCCCAGTCTCTTGAGTCATATGGATAGAATTATGGAAGGAACAGATGTACCAGTATCTCCATACACTATTAATACCCCGTTACCTGTATTTCCAAATTCAAAAGCCTAAATACAGTTATTTCTCCTTTTGAACATTTCTATCATTGTTCTCATTGTTGATCAATCTTGGCTTACAGATAGAACAGATTGCCAGCTCATACTTTTACCTTTTGGAAAATTGGGTCATCAGTTGGTATTTTAAAATGGTCACAAAGGGCAAAGAATTCTGCTTTGTTTAGAAGCCCTGAGCCATCTTTATCTTGCTGAAGGAAAGCTTCCTGCATACTGCTGTCTGGCAGATAATTATGCCGCCTCATGTGTTCCTGAATCTGCTCCAATAATGCAGCTAGTTCCTGCGGGTCAGGCTCATTGGAAGCTAACCTAGAGGGAGAAAGAACTAGGATGTCATATGATGTCCTCAAGACTCAAGCATCTTGAAATGCTTCTTAAAATTATGATCAATCACCTGCATTTTAATCTAACTATGATGAGGCACATTCTCTATGGATAGCATTGGGGGCCTGTGGAGATATTAGGATTTACAATTAAATGGACAAAATTTATCATCTGCCGTTCAAAAGAAAAGCCATTCTTAAGATTTACTTCTATGTCACAGTAATGCAGGCACATTTTACACCGACAATGAATACCCCCAATTTGCAATGCACTCTGACCACTCTACTAAATTTTTAATCAGCCTACTAATTAGGTGGCTGAAAACAAATCATAAACCATTTCAACATAACTTTCGCAGATTTATCAGATTTTTGATTTTACTCTTCCAGGTAAATCACCATTCTTTTCCCCTGTGTCTTTTTTAATTAAAATTAAAATTCAATTCCAATTTTTCTCTAGTAGAACTGTTACTTCTCGTTCCATGCAAGTAGTAGTGACATAAATAAAATGTTTCAGTAATGATTATCTCAGATTTATTCAATCTGATTGAACATCATCTACAAGGATAGTTAACTCATCTAGGAACTTGAAAGAAAATGTGAATAGTTTATCATGTCCAGCATTATTTTACTCACAATAACCATGTGCATCTTTGGTGGAGGATGAAAGCAAGTACCTTTTCCTGATACTATTCTCTGGTAACTGGGATGGGTCCATAGTGTAAGCCCCTCTTTATGAAAGCTGCGACTACTTGTGATGTTTGAAGGTAAAGTGATAATAGCTATTGATTTATTGTCTAAGATCAGGTAAAGGGAAGATCTTCCATCATCCTCAGACCAATAGCTGCTGAATCAGCATAATTAATATTAGATATGGAACATTTTCTATGGATATTTTCTTCAAGTGCTCACCTCTTTAGTTCCTCTATTGCTGCCATGCGGGGTGCAAAATGATATCTCATAGACTGCACAACAGATGCTGGGAAGCTTTCCAAATTACTTTCCATATAATTCAACACATAATTATCTGCATCCACAATAATGAACCTGTGGCCAAACACTGCATAAAAGAGACAATCTGTCATCATCATGACCAACTGTCTGCCAGTTCCAGAAATATAGATTAAACTTGTGCAACTTTTTCAGAGGTGGGGATGGTGAACATTTTTTCAGCCGTTTAAATTCTCAACAAAACTGGTAGTGATGTGGCAATATTGGTGGAGGGGCAAAGCTGAATATTTTGGAATTTTTAAAAGCACCCAAAGGTGCTTTAAGACTAGCAATAGCATAATGTGCTTATTTTAAACATTTTCAGTGATGCATGAAAAATAAAAATCTGGAAAGTATCAACATGCCATTGAATTGCATTGGTAGAATCCTTGAAGCTCCATAAATGGAAAAGATAGTATGGAACTACCCTTGCCATAGATGACTGGCTGTTTTCTTCTTGCAGTCCAAGAAGTAAAAGGTTTTAATTAAACTTGCAGCTCAACAACCTGTTTTTTGTTTTGCAAAACAACTGAAGGAAAATGTGAAGCAAGCTAGCCATACCTGCCAAAACAGGACAAGAACCATGCGACTAGTTGCTTTCTATCAACATTTTGATTTCTATTCTGATCTGAGGAAAATGTGTACGGCTATAGGAATAAGCTGCAAGAGTACTAACAATATGTTTTCCCTCTGCCATTTCTTAGTGCTTTGTTTATTTGTCAGTAAAATGGCATTTTATCATTTCAAGGGATATCGAAGTCAGATCCCTCTCCAAAAACCAGGTTGTAAATAATCTGAAAAGATATGTCACTTGTGAACTTTACAGCTCAAATAGCTCAACAGTACCTAATGAAAGCAAGGGAAATTGGAAAAAATTTATCTAGCTTGCTATATTCTTTTGAATAATTCTAAAAGAGAAAAACATTATTTCTTATGCAAAAAATGAAGAATGAATATGTGCCAAAATATTCGCTTCTAAAATATTTATACTCCATCTTTCTACTTACCTTCTATCATAGCGCCTATGGTTAAATCGGCAGGTTCATAATAAACAGGATCATCTGTAGAAGATCCTGGCTTTGGGATTCTGGTTTTGCATAGGTATTTGCCACCAATAATTCCTGAATTGCGCACAGGCGGTTCATAAATGCTTATCATGTCAGTAGCGAGGCAATAGGAGAGGACAAAATGCCTCTTGCTGTCATCAGGATTTGAGGATTCCTGGACAGATTAAAGGTCAAATGTAAGCTGCAAAATATGCTGTGCTTAAAGGGCTTGCTCATGTTTGGCTATTCCCAAAATGACATCTTCTTGAAGGTACTGAAACTCCCAGAATTCTCAGTCATACTGAAATAATCCATTGTGTAAAAAGCAACTGAATAGCCAATTGAATCATTATTTAAATTGTTCAAATTATAGATCAGGTAATGACCTCAGAAGTCATGTATTCTCTGTTCAAAGCAAATTACATTTACATCACTCTCCATGAAGATGCCTATTTAACTTCTGCTTAAATACAGTATCTCTACTGAAAGGAGATCCTACCACCTCTGAGTAAAGGGAAATTGTTTTCCTGTTAAATAGCTCTGAGTCATAAGAAATTTCTCATAATATTTAAACAAATTTTGTTCGGCAATTTTCTGGACTTTATAATTCTGTTAATACAGTTTAAGACTTCATTAGCCTATTTAACAGCCACATCACACTGATGGACCCTGTGTAATTTATGATTTAATCAAGCTCCTATACCATGTGGCAGACCTGAGTACTTAGTGGAAATTTATTCCTTTGACAGGACATCTATCTTTTATCTTTTTTCTGGTTTTATACACATTACAGTTGCTCTCACTACTGAAAATCTTCTGAAATGCAATCTTATAGTAATAAAATGATTGGGTGTTCTGAAATGAAAGCAACATAAAAGGACTATAGTTACTTAAGCTGAGAACTAAATATAGAGCCCCAATAGATATCCTCAATCAGCCAAGGCAAACTATACTGTATACATAAATAGATATGTATTTCCCATTACTCCCTAGTTTGAAATTTTAATCAGATTCTATGTATCCATAGTGCTTTGAATTGAAAAACTATCTGATATAATATTTTAACATCTGCTTCTATTTTTCATTGACTTGTGAGAAATAGAGTTGGAGTTTTTATTATTATTAGGGATTGATCTTCTTTCAGCAATTTCATCAGGTTGTCAAAGTCATAAAGAGTTTAAATTAAAAACTCATATATATGAATACTTCTTATTACACTGAAATTTTACTCCTTGGACCTTTACCATTGGAGGTAAAATTAAAAGAACTTCTAATCCCCAACTCAATAATCACTCTGAAAACTGTAAATCATGACAACTCACCATTCTAACAGCATAGCGCAAAATTTTGTGGTCATTCTCTAGCATTTTAATAATATTTTTTCTAGGGGGTTGTGGAATCAAACTGAAACAGTTTTGAAGAGAGTCTTCAAGGAAACCATAACCATTGTAGGGAGGAATTATCTGTACATAAAAATAAACCAAGAAAAAAAGTACAATATTGAACCAATATTCACTCACAATATTGTAAAATGAAATGTTTTAAAAAAATTTTAAAAAATATTTAAAAATAAATTTAAATAAATTCAAATGTTTTAAATTTTTTAAAGAACCTTACTGTACTCTGTTGTGAAGCATCAGTAAAAGCAGAAATGGGGTGGGTAAGACACCATTATGTTTATAACTAGGAGATTCTGTTCCTAGGAAATAGCATTGACATGTTTCTGTTCATCTTAGTTCTCTAGTCACTGACAAAAAAATTCAATGTAGAATTGTTTATTTTCTAATAAATGTGGAAGTTTTTTTCAAGGGACAGATGCAAATGAAATGTTCATCTCCAATCACTCTTCCAACTGGAAGAACTGCATTTGGAGAGTAAAAAATAGCAAAAAGCATTCTTCATTTGAAAAGAAGAGATGGAAGAGATAATAAAAAACATAGTCTAGCTAAATTGATATCTGACACTTCCTACCTGTTTTTAATTTCTACTACATTCTTACTTATTATTTCTAAATAAATAACATTTGAAAAGCAGTCTTTGTCACCATAATAAGTTAACCTCTCTACTGTGTATTTTGAAACTTTTATCCATTGGCAAGTGAATAAACAGTAATACTTTGACTTAGTATAAGTGATGCTTCCTAGTACTTCTATTCTTTGTGTCTATGAAGACTGACTTGCTTTCTGGAATTTCTCTATCAACTCTCATTTCCACTGCTTGTCAGTCCTTCCTCTCAGTCCTACTCCATGTTCTGACCTCCATTTCCTTGCCCTTTAATTAAAAACTGGCCTCTTTTGCAGTTTCTTCTTTATTTTTCTCCTTTACCTGTTTGATTTCCTCTGGGAGTGGCTTCTTTACATCAACTGCCTGGAAGTCAGTGATGCCAAATTTATCTTGATAGAATTGTCGAGTGAACTCATCACAGTCATAGATGAAAAAAGTACGTCCAAGTAGAGTAGTGGGTTTGCCAACTGCAAAATCTTTAGCTGTGAACCATTCTAAGACCTCCTGATCAGAAATCTCCAGCACACAGGTTGGGAAGTTTTCTTGCAAAAAAAAAAAAAAAAAAGGCAGTTTAGTAAGATTTCCATTGCTGCTGTTTATTCCAAATGAAGACATATTTAGACACTGGAAAATGCAGACCTTCCTTAGCTTGCTCACATTTTTAAGACAATCAGTTTTATGTATTATCATGGGCCTAATTTCCATAGCATCTGAGAACATATTGCCAAATATCATTTAGCCAGCATCTGAAAAAGTTGCATTAATTTTAGGAAAGGCAAGCATGGGTTCATTTCAATACTTTATAAAACAGTATAATTAGAAATGAGTACTTCAATAGTGCATCTGACTGACTGACTGAATAAATGCACTCTTACTTTACTAATTTTAGTACATCAGCCTCTCTGAAAACATATGCCTTCCTTATCTTGTTACAGCTGATTCCCAAGTTGTATACTTTGTGTAGCAAATGTTAATAAATTCATGTTATATCTAAAAATATTTGTATGAAGATCTTGAAGGCACTAAACTTTTTATTTATATACATATTATCCTAGAAAATATTTATTTATATACATATTATCCTAGAATTGTCAACCAGAGAAAGTTATTACCTTTCTTCTCCAAAAAAGTTTTGGGCAGGCGCTGGCGTTTTATCAGGACTGGGAAAGGATCTCTGCCATCATTTCGTTCATGAACTTCCCGCACCTCCACTGTGTCATCTGCCAAATAGTAGTGGATAATAAATCTCCGGGTTTCACCAAACATGTTCCAAGTGTCATCCCAAATGGCATAAAAACGAAGAACCTGAAAAAAAATGTGAAGGGTTCATTCTCTTCATGGAAGAATAGAAACTTTTCTCATATAAGCATGATGTCTCACAATCAAAGTGAATCACAACTTAATAAAGAGGACAAAATCATATCTTCCTTACAATTACAGTTAAGTCACATTGAAACTTCAATAAAACAACATAAAATAGCAAGCCATTGATTAAATCTATTAACTGTGCAGGCTCATATGATTTTGGAGACAAATGAATACAGATGGTCCTAATTTAACAAGCATTTGTTCAGTGACCATTCAAACTTTATGATGGCACTGAATGAGTGGTAGGTATGACCAATCCTCATGGACAGCATTGCATTCCCAGTCATGTGATCATAAACTGGAGGCTTGATACCTGGTTTGCAATTACGCTGCAGCACCCCAGTTTGTGACCTTTGCCAACTTCCTACAAGTAAAGTCAATGGGGAAGTCAGCAGGTTACAATAGGTAACCATGTAATGTCCTCGCTTAACAACCCACAGTGATTTGCTTAATAATGGCGTCTGAGTGTGCTGGGATTTCTGTTGCTAAGTGGCACAAACATGTGACATTGCATTTTATGACCTCATTTAGCAACAGAAATTTCAGTCTCAAATGCTGTTAAATGAAAACTATTTGTAATTTTACTATTTATAAAATTTTGCTACAAGTAAAATGACTTGTAAACTTCACCAAAAATATCTTTACTATCTTTGAAGATGAAAAGCAGAAAACTCACTCAGCAATTACATAGCTTTATTATCACTGACAAAGAGGCCCTTGGAGTTTCACTTCTGCACTCCAGAGCATCTCCTCTGGTATGCTCTAAATATATGAAAATTATATAGCCCCTATAATTTAATTTTCTCCCATTTTAAGTATGTTTTACAATTGTACTTGCTACTTACTTTTTCACAGCTTCATTTACTGTAATTTTATTTATTTTCTTGGGTGGGGATAGATTTTGTTTGCTGCTTAAAATGTTTTGAATAGACAAAAAAGTAGATTATGTGTAATATGAAACAAACCTAAAGCTCACCTTTTTGTCAAATGCCAAAAACTGCTTAAGTTGATCAAAATCTGAGGGGGTGACATACATACGTGGACGCATTTTACGTAGCTCTATATAAGGATCAAAAATCATTCGCTCTGGAGGGTTCAGTTCAATTCCTTGGCTTTCCAAAAAAGTCTGTAAAGCAGTAATCACATTGTTAATATACAAATAAGCACAGTAAGAAATCATACAGCAAGACTGCCTTAAAGTTGCATTTGGGGGTAAAACTGCGATCTGGGCAGTTTAGTGGGCATACTAAAAATGTCTTCCCATGTTACTGAAATAAGGCAAGAAACCTCAGAACTTTCAAAAAAACCTGCACTGCCTTATCTGCCATGGCTTTATTAATCTTACTAAAACTGAGTAAAATGCTACTCTACGAATGAACTGAAGTTTAGGCTCTTTTTAAGAGATCCCATTGTTTTTATTCTCAAAACAGACCTCCTATATTATCCTATATAGAGAGAGGGACAGGCAGACAGAGACAGACAGAGATCTCAATCAAATGTAAATGAAATAAATTACTAAAACTACTGTGAAAGTGTACAAGAATAAAAAATAACCATTATGAGAACTCAGATGATAATTTTAGCATGGGTAAAAATATGTTTCATAATTCTAAAAACAAATCACATATACACAATGTTATTTAGAATGGTAATTTCTGTTTTCAAATTATATATCTTACTATAGTTAAAATTTATTTTATCCCCAGATTAGGAATAGTTTTATTACTGTAATGCTGTAGATTAGCAATCAAGATTACAGTACCTGGGTGAATCGATCACAGTCAACTATCCGGAAAGTCTTGCCATAGATAGTAATATTAATTCCTCGATTCAGATCTTTCCAATGATAATGATCCCCACGATCATTTTTGGGCAAACGCTGTCTCTTGATGAACTTGCCCTGAGGAATCCCTGAGTTTTCAACAATGGGTTCCATGACAGACATGCTATCATCTTCCAAATAGTAATAAATGCCCACTTGACGAATGCGGAAATGCTCTTCTGTAGACATAGGAACATCTTCTTGAAAGTATCCATCAAATTTGAGCACCTAGCAACAAACAAACAAATCCCTATATAAGGAAAATTATATTAATGATAAAAATGACAGGAAACCCACTTGATGCTGTGTGAGATCATCAAATGACAGAAATGTATTACTATATATTCTATTAATATTAAATGTAAGTTTACAAAAAGCTGCACTATCTTTATAGAAGCTAGGGAATTTCTATTTAACACCAAGCTAATACTATGGTAAATTTTCTTTTGTATCCTATGATGGTATAATTGTGGAAGATACAGCTATAAATGGAAGTATAAATATAAATAACTTTTGACTGACAAGAATACAACCAACATAACATGTTTTAATTTTCTATAGGTGTTCATGCTGGACTTAGAATAAGTTTATTGTCACTTTAAATGTAGAAGCGGAAGTCTTTTTACACAGCATTAATGGCTTATATTAAATTCTGCACTGTAACATTTATTTTTGTAGAATTAAAACTGCCTACAACCCCCCCACCCCCAAAGTATAACTTGGAGGTTGCTCATATGTTGATCCATTTTGTCTCCATTAAGTAGGCTAAACTGAATGACTGGCCCAGAAATGTGCTGCAAGGAAGAGGATGTACTTGAATATGGCTCTACACTACAAGTCTTAAAACATGTAAATAAACTATTGATAGTATAGAGGAAAGTAGACTAATGATGGTGAAGGAAAGCAAGATATTTAATGTCATTTTCTGTTAATAGATAAAAAGAAGTGAGCCTGAGAAAGACATTTTTAATTCTGTATATTATAAAAAGGGAAGAATGGCAGTCTTTCAAGACCATTATTTGCAGGTTATGATTATTACCTGCAAATAAGAGATACCCAGAAGTCTTTTCAAAGTTTGTTTCTTGATATGGACTACTTTCATGGGCTAACAAATAGATATCAGAAATAAACAGCTAATCTTAAACACTTAATTTTGCAATAAATACCTGTACCTGAAATCAGATGTTTGAGAAAATACCTTTTTGTCAAAAGCCACGTGTGCTGGGATGAAATCTGAAGGTGGGGCTTGTTTAGGTTCACCATAAGTTAAGGTGGGTCTCTTGTTGGATAATTCATCAAGTTCAGCTTGAGACAACTGGTTTACATAAAGCCGATTTCCACCTATCCCCACAGTTGGAAGTTTCTTAAAGGCAAAACCATTCTTGAAATCTAGAGTTTGGGAACGATGAAAAGCAGTTTTCTACAGAACAACAACAAAAATACATACTCAAATGCTGACCAGACTGATGTATCTAAAATAACACATTTATTTTTCAATTGCCTTGTCTCAAACATATTTGTCTTTAGAGCTAAATTTCATTTAGGACCCTCCCATATAGTAACAATTTAAAAAATACATTAAGGTAATTTTTTATCTCAAAAATATGTAATTATATTTTAATAATAATAGTTCACAACCTCTAGAACAGTTTTAAACTCTTCAGGACCATAGAGTTTCAAACGTTTTTTTAATGAGGACTATATTTAGAAAAAATAAAAATAAAAAGAATATTGAAGTAAAATATGTTTTAATAATACTCTTTAATAATACTCTTAGACTACATTTAACATATTGATGTACATTTTAATGAGACGTATGAGGACTCCTTAGTGCTTTCTGAGCTTGGTTGCTTTCTTACAGATATTTCACTACCCAAACTAAGTAACATCATCAGTCCCAACATAATGAAACATCTGCAAGAAAAGTATGAGTTTGTATAAGATGAGGTATCACATCCACGTCTGATACGTTTAATATTAAATTAAAAACATTAAAAACATTTACTAACATTCAATCATTTTAATATTTGGTAGTAAGAGCTGAAAAGGCAGGAGGCTATTCAATGTTTTTTCTCTTAAAATGTTATCGCCCCTCTGTAACTTTTGTTAAGAAACCTTCTAACGTTGGCGCTATGGGGTTTGACTTTTAAAAATACAGATGGCTACAAAATGGCTTGAAAGGCCTTTTAGAGACCGTAAAGCCATATTTTAAAGACCTAGAGCTGCCACATTCAATGACAGGAAGGTGGGATTATTTATGAAGTATCTCACTCTTAAAGGATGGCGTCGATCGGAGTCTCTGACCAAGTCCGCAAGACTCAGGGGAGACGCTTAGTCTAATGGGCCACACCGCTAGCTATTTCGGAGGAAATGTGATGTGGAAAGAAAAAAGGAGATTTTCCTCACCGTCGGGTCCCGAAAGGACGAGCCCGGAACAAGCGGCAAGCCTTGCACCGGCTGGAGGCTCATGATGGACGGTCGAGCAGCGAAGGGCTTGGCAAGGGACAGATCCGCTACCACGGGTAACTAAGCAACGCCGTTTCCTCGGTAACCATCAACAGTTCGGCTTTCATTTCTTTTTCTGAGAGCGCTTGCGCAGTAGCGACCGAGGCGCTCAGCTCGGTTGGTAGGTTCAGGTGCCGCTTTTCATCAGCCCGCGGTTGAGTTTGGCTCGAGTCATTGTGTTGCTAGATTATCCCACCCACTCTCCCACCCCCGCCTTTCAGTAGCGCTAGATTGAGGGAAAGAAATGTCTGGATATAAACAGGCTGGCTTGAAGTTTGGTTGTACTGTAAATGCTTTTATTGTGGTTTGGCAGTTGCAGCTTTGGTCCTATGTAGAGGATTGACATAGGAGCAAAGCCTAATTCAATGCAACAAAGTTTACCTCGGGCGGAGTTTGGGGGCGCACGCGGAGAGTAAGTGCATGGGTTTAAAAACTGGATAATTAGGACGGTAAGAATGTAAATTTATCTTAGGAAGACGTTATTTCTCTTAGAACTCTATTAGCCTTCCTGATTGTCCGCTGTATGCAATACTACATAACATCATGCTGTATTCCCTTCCCACTTCCAATATTCTACCATGTCATTTTTTTTCTTCAGATGCAATTTGCAAAACATAACATTGCTTAATTTCTTGTTTGCATGGTGGTACAGACCATTTTGGAAAATAAGGAGGGTAGCATCCCAACCTGCCCTTTCTATTTACCATGCCATAATTTATCTATAGTGAAACTTGAATTAATGGATGATTTGTGGGGAGGGAATATCTGTAAATCTAAATGTCTGAATCGAAATGCATGCTATTACAGTAGTATGTCATTTGCATAATTATTCCGATAATATAATTTGTATCCCTTGCATCAATTTACATTTAATGATGTAATGTCTGGATAGACTTTGGAAATTTGAGAGTGAAATGCATATTTTCTGTTGCACATGAATCCTTTGATTAAATCAAGGTTGCTATAAACAGGTTTCATCTCCATAAAAATCACAATTTACAAAAAAAAAAAAAAAAAAACCTCCTAGAAAACATTGCAAATAGCCTTCTTGAAACCATGTACATCCATATGTGACTAGCAACAAACCAAATCAGAAAATCCAGAAGCACGGTGAAGAGGTGCCCTTACACCAAAACCAGAAAAATTGGAAGAACGTATATCAAGACTTCTATGCAGAGGTTAAATACGAGAACATTGAAGGTAAGTAACTTGCACAGATAGTTGTCAAATCCTTTTTTGAAAACATCCAGCAATGGTGCAGCCATGACTCCAGGACGCAAGCTGTTCTATTGATTAATTGTTCTCACTATCAGGAAGTTTTTCCAGACCTCTAATCTGGAACTAAGGAGAAAGTTCCTGACAGAACAATTAATCAACAGAACAGCTTGACTCCCAGAGTTGTGGATGCACCATCATTGAAGGTTTTCAAGAAAGGACTGAACCACCATTTGTCCAGGTAATATAAGATCTCAAATATTAATTGAGCATAGCAGGCTCATTTCCTTCTTTCATGATCCAATCTCAGAACTCACCCCCATTTTGTCATTATCTTTAGATTCACACATATTGGCCCACACAGCAATATGTACAAAAGTATTCAAGAAAAAAATGAAGTTGACAGAAAACCCTTGTTTTAAAAATGATAAAGCACTGTTAGATGAGCGTTCAGGAAAATATTTGTGCACAACAGTTATATAATATTTTTGCATACCAGTCACTATGTGTGACCCACAGGATTCATAAAACTTTAAGAGGGGAGTCATTTTGAATCACAGAAAGTATATCTATATGGATTACCATTTGTATGACTTAATGAAAAATCTGTGCAGTTTTTCAGAGGCGTAAAGTTGAATGATGATTATTCCACTCACAGGACAGTGAGAAAAATATTAAAAAATAAAATTAGCAGAAAATTACATTTTCTTCAAGGGTAAATGGTGGTCTTCCGGGTGACTTCAAGGTGTTGGTTACCACCTTTAAAGTGCTCCATGGCACAGGGCCTGGGTACTTACGGGACCGCCTTCTGCCACCGATAGCCTCCTACCGGCCAGTTCGCTCCCACAGAGAGGGACTCCTCAGGGTGCCGTCAGCCAGGCAATGTCGGCTGGCGACTCCCAGGGGGAGGGCCTTCTCTGTGGCAGCACCTGCCCTCTGGAACGACCTGCCCCAGGAGATAGGTAGGATACCAGATCTCCGTGCTTTTCGCCGTGCCCTCAAAACTTTTTTATTTCACCAAGCTGGGCTGGCATAACCCCCCCCCCTTAGATATTTTAATTGTAACGAATTTTAGTTGGGATGTTTTAAATCTGGGCCAAAATTTGTTTAATTCTCTTAATAATTTTAAATTTTGTATCAGATGTTTTATTCTTGGCTGTTCACCGCCCTGAGTCCAGCAGGAGAAGGGCGGTATAAAAACTCAATAAAATAAAAATTAATTAAATAAATAAATAAATCTTGGTTTGGAAATTACAAAATTGGGAATTAGTTGGAAAAAGGCTTCATATCTAAGCATGCTTGCCTTAGGGAAAAATTAGTGAGAAAACCTTCTATCCACAGTAAATCTATGTCTTTAATGTATTGTTACATGTACTGAACTCCTCCAATAGCCGTTACAAAATTAGATGTGTGGGTATTATATGAAATGTGAAGGCACTTTGGGTGTTAAGCTAAAATATAGTTTATGGCTCAGTGTCCTGCAAAAAGCTACCCAGTATGGTTTAGCACCAGAGGTGGTATTCAGCAGGTGCTGACCAGTTCTGGAGAACTGGTAGCAGAAATTTTGAGTAGTTCGGAGAACTGGTAAATACCACTTCTGACTGGCCCTGCCCCTATCTATTCTCTGCCTCCCGAGTCCCAGCTGATTGGGAGGAAATGGGGATTTTGCAGTAACTTTCCCCTGGAGTGGGGAGTGAATGGAGATTTTATAGTATCCTTCCTCTGCCATGCCCACCAAGCCATGCGATGCCATGCCACGCCCACCAAGCCACGCCCACAGAACCGGTAATAAAATTAAAAAAATTTGAATCCCACCACTGTTTAGCACATTCAGTGCATTGTGTAAATCTCTAAAGTAGACTAATTCAATCATTCCTGGTTGCTTTAACCACAAGAATATTCTGTTATTACATACACAGTGAGTTTGTTTAATGGAAAAAGGAAACATCATTGTCGCTCACCTGAATATTTGCTCAATTCTAACACTTTCTGATGGATTGTGATTTGATTTCTGAGGTCTCCACAGGGGGAAACAGTGCAATATTACTTTGTACTCAGTGTTGTAATAATTACATCTATCAGAACCTTGAATGAAAATGGCATTTTTAGCATGATAAAAGCATTAAATACTTGTATGTCTGCAGAAGCATCAAGGTTTTCTCCAAACAATTTTTTACTAACACTCTCCCTTAATCTTGCAAATCATACAGAAGCCATATTTTGATATATAAACATTTTGATATAAACAAATTTCATATAACACATCAATTTCTTAAACTTTACTTAAGATATCCTCTTCCCATTCTACACTTCAACAGTTTATAACACAGTATAGTTTTTCAAATGTTCTCAACAATGCAGACTTCAAGAATTTAATACAGAAGTTGTTCATATAATTCTAAAACTAACACTTTTTTTAAAAGAAAGAAAATAAAAAACTCAGTTATCATTTCATTTTAGTAACAAATAATGCCTATCATAAATATATATATTTTTAAAACTGCCTCTGAAAGATATAAACATCCAAGGCACACTTGAAACCACCACATTTTATTTGAAGTATTGGAAATAACATGTAAGTCTGCTACCACAATGTCTGGATGTCAAATCCAAATAAAGCTGAAGTTAACAACTGCAAAATAAGCATGACCCTGTAGATAGCAAGGCTAGTTTTATAAAAAAAAAGTTCATAATGGTGGAACTCTAATAATAATTTGGATTGTATCTGCAATTATTGTTATTAATATTAAACTAGCAGTGCCCAACCTACTGTTCTCTGTGTATTCTAGACTTCAATTTCCAGAATCTAAAACCAGCCAGATCATACCACTTTGGAATGAAAAAACAATAATTAGAAAAAGTTGCTTTAGATCCATGTAATTGTAAAGTAAAATCAGTAAGGCTTTCTAAAGTCTCTCAAAATGGCATGTGGCTGCTTCAGGAGTACTCCATGTGATCTCTGCATCACTGGGCTTGGAGGAAACAAAGTTGTTGTGCAAGCATAAGTATGCAAAATCAACCAGGATTAGCTCCTGAAATAGCTACATGAACCTTTTTCAAGACATGGCTGCTTTAACTATTTGAAAAGGTCCTAAAAACCAGTCCTTTTATTCATCACATTTGTTTCTAATAGTAACAGATTCACTTGGATTCATCAGTCCTAATTAAAACATTTTGTGTATGTACAGAACTAGCAGTAAAAGGACCTAGGAATTATCAGAGGCAGATATCCGAAAAAGTCTGAAGGACAATTTTAAGAAACTTAGTACGCAGCAATTTTTCTTAAATAACCAGCCATATATTTTAAGAGTGCTTTCATCTTTAAAATGATATTTGAGGGATCTCTGCAGTTTGACTAATGCTGATTATAGTACACATTTTACAATGGATTAAATTGGAGTATCTTAAACTTTTTAATGTATGTCATCTTGTAAGCAACCAAGTTAGAGGTATGAAATACATGTTCAATGAGAACTGCTGTGAAACAAAGATATCATTTATGAAATCACAGAAAATAATGCAAATTAGTTAACAGTAGGGATAATGTATGTTCTATGAAAAAATAAGCATAGTCTGTTTATTGATTTTAGTTAGACTTTAGTTTTCATCTTAATGAAAAGTATCTCTGCTGAGTAGCAACCTAATTAAAATTCTCAAAGCCATTCCAACTATTAGAAAAATCTTAGTTGATTATGCCACTAGGTGGTGATATAGAATCACTAAGAATTTTCATACAGCCCATCGGATTTAATTGGTGGATTTATTTATTTTCTTCCTATAGTTTATATATTCTTAACAAAAATTTTCAGTGTTTATGTTGGCAGAAAATGGTTTAAATTTCTTGTGACTGGACCCATTTCTAATATTAAAAAAAAACTATTATTAATTATTTTTGTTGAATCCAGCTTGGACTGCACTTGTCTTTGTACCTATATGTTAAGTATTTTCACCAAAATTTGAGTAGGTGTAAACATAGACATCTTAGATAACTGATATACTGCATATTAAGGAGAATAAGATAGGAAATTAGAATTAGAATTCTGAGTGTACCATTTCCAGACTGCAAATGGGGTTACTCATTGTCATGAATGTCCACACATGCAAAATGATTTCCACTTCCCAGCACCACCAGAAACCAAGTTTGGCACACACTTTTCAATTATATGCTAGTCTGCTATGTGCAAATAACATTTCACAGGAAATAACATTAAATAAATAAAACATTCCACAGCTGCAATTTCTGTTTGGATATGGTGTTTGTGTTTGGAAGAGAGGAAATAAAAGTTTAGTAGTTAAATACCACATGAGACTCAAAGCACAACCCAACTGGACTCCTAGTGATGAAAAGCACAAATAAAACTGGTTAGGAAAATGTGTGGTTGGTACTATGGCATGGTACTTGTCCATGTAATACTTTTTTACAATCAAACTGCTCCTTTTCTAATTATTTAACTTGGTGCTCAAACAGGGAAGAAGTACTGTACCCTTATCTTAGTTGTCAGAATAATATTCAGGTTGTAAAAGTCCCGAATGGCTTTGTTTGAGTGACATGATGATGCCTAAAATCAAGAAGGAACCAGGAAAACTAACATTTTGACAATATGAGTGAAGGTATGCAGAAATGAATTAGGAAGAAAAGAGGCTTTATGGACAACAAACAGAAAAAACACTAGATGTTATTTATAGTCATAGCTGCTAATCAGTGTTAAAATGATAAAATAGTTCCTTTGAGCGGCACTATAAACCATGAAAATAGCATCCTATTTTGATAGCAATGATAGTGCTGTTTGTCCTGTGTTTTCAGATGACTATTTCTTCATGAACATCATAAAACAACTCATGAAAAGGCTAGTAACTTCTACTACCTTTGAGAATTCTACCCTTCTTTGCTTTAGCTAACCTGGGCTTGAATGATTAACAGCTGACAACTACCAAATTATGACTGTTATTCTACCATCATACTATTTCTGAAGCTTACAACTCAGGAGAAGATTCAGCACTACTTGAGCTGTACCAGTGGTATCAAGGCCACAGCTAAAATGAAACGGACCAAATGAGATTACCAACTATGTCAACCTTCACAATAATCTTTGCTCTAATCATCACTGAAGTCATAAACTATGACTACTCTGTATCATTTCAGATTGCAAGAAATGAGTCTTACGATTTAACATGAAAAAAAAAATCCCTACATGTAAACTAGTAAATTAGGAACTTTGACCCAATGTGTGAAGGAATTTTTTTCTTTTATGTGACACCATCCTAGTTTATATTCTGAAGTAGTATAACCTAGACACAATTTCAATTTCCCAATGAGATAAGAGCTTTATAAATGTGCAAGTCTATGGCAATCCTCTACTCTTCTAGTTAGTGATTAGTATCCTCTTTCATATAATACAAATTTATGTAAATAAATAAAAGACCATTTAGAAAAATCTGCCTTCAATTAAGTATCCTAAATGCCCTTTGCCCAGCAATAGGCACAGTTAGTAAAAATGTTTAGGGCATAAGACATATTTAATAAATTAGTACCTGCCTGTAATCAATTCCTTGATTATAATTTATAAAAAAAAACCACTTGGTTAAGTTACTTATATACAGTACTTGAATAAACTTCCCTCTTCCTACTTTTCTTCAAGCACATCAGGACTGAACCCTGTTTCTATGTCAGTCTCTCAGGATGCCTTCATGGCCAGTTCCTCCTTGATTTTGCGCTGCAATAGGAGTGCAGTGATAGCACTACAAGCAACTAAGCCAAAAAAGGAGCCACAAGACAGGATGATGGAGAGAGATCCATGTCGCTTGAATAAGATATCTTGCCTGTTCTTGTAATCCAAGAAGATGGCTTCCAATTGTGAGAGTGTGCAAATAGCAAGGAAGGTGTGAAAAATTTGATGGGCATGACCAACAATATCACAGGATCCAGGGAAATATTTTTCAGGAACTGGACAAGAAAAGAAATAAGCACTAACTAGGAAGAAAAGTATCTGGAAGGTGTGATACCAAGCAGCCAACTCCTCACAGCCTTCAAGGTGGCACATAATTACACGGTGGGCCACGGGACTGATGTCCAAGATGAATGCCAATCCTGCTGGGATCACCTGACACACTTTCCTCATGATGGGATAGGGGCGCCGGTAGCGGTACTTGGCATAGCAACAGCCAGCACATGAGAGCCATCCACAGAAAGCAGCTGCTGGCAAAAAGAAAAGCCAAAACTTGTCATACCAGGCTTGGTCAGAGCTGTAGTAGAAATGGGCCAGGGCGCTTCCGTACTGGTAGATGCTGACTCCAACATAATCCACAAAATAGAAAGTATAATGTGATATTTCTGACTTGGACTGCAAAAGATGAGCTAAGAGGCTGCATGTCAGATATGTAACAGAGGAAAGGACGAAGATGAAGAGAGGTAAGGAGCGGATCTCCAGAGACAAGTCCTCTGCTTCAGCAAATACATTAAATCTCAGCAGCACTGCCAAAGCAGCCAGAAGGTGAGTCCAAACATTAACAACCTCATTATGTTTTTGGAAGAGGCTGAAGAAATAATAGCGCCAATCCTGACCAGTGGGGCGATAGCCAGCTTGGATGTAGGGTTCTCGGAAAAGTTGGGGCACATCAGATTCTTTAACTGTGCAAGGCATCTTGGGAAAGCCTTCTTCTAGGAGCAGAGGAAGTCGACGGAGTTGTTGTCCACTGATGGACAAGGTGCTAATCCGTTCCAGAATAGCTGTCATCATTTAGATGATTCCTGAAGTGATAAGAATGTGAACAATATTAATAAGAAGGAAAATGAAGAATACACAGAGGCAAATATTTACAATCTCTATATGTCACCATGTTTAGAGAAACTATCAAAGTTTCTTTGGACAAACAACTGGAGGAAGGAGGTGGCAATAAGGATGGTAAGATGGGACTCAATTAGGATTCAAAATTGCATTCCCAGTTTCCATTTAAAAAAAGAAAAAAAATGATGCTTAATCCATAATGTTCTCTTTCATGTTGTGTTGTATTACAGACTTATATCCCAATGAACATAAATGGATCTTATTGAACAGTCAAACTGCCTTCCTTGCTTTTTACAAGTTTATTTCCATTTATTAATCAAAATTAGCATTGTTATTCCATTTTTTTAAAGTCACTTGATTCTGAAAAGAATATTTGGATACATTACAACCATTGTGAAATTAATGTATTTCAGAAGTGTATAATTTGAAGCCCACAACAAAGTTTTAAGAAACAAATCTTCAAAAAATCACTACCATTTACATTTGTGACTGTTCTACCAAAAAAAAAAAAAAAAGTACTGCATCTAAGTTATTCCTAAATTTTGATTCAGGGAAAAACAGCAGGTATACTGAAATTATTTCCATCAGAAAATAATGCCAGAGAAAGAGTCGAGTATAGAGGTATAAAGGGTGTTCAAAAACAGCCCCAAATTATTTCCACATTCACCCCCAAAAATTACTTCCAAAAAATTTATATCATCAATCTCCCATTCTTACAAAATAATTATAGTGGTAATTATGTAATTATCCAAAATAATGCTGCATCCCTAAATGTCAAGAACAAGTTTCGTGATAGCTAAAATGAAACAACATACAAAGATTGAAATCTCAAGTTTAGCACATTCAGTATAAGTAAATCACTGCAGGATTCAACATCCTGGGTCCTAGTTCAAATACTTTTCAAATACTCCCTATTTACAAAAGTGCATAGGTTACTAACCATGTATTGAATCTCAGAGTCAGTAATGACTGGAGTAATGACTAATGTGACTGTCTCAGAAATATAAAGTAATAGCTGTGCCGGATATCTCAATAGCAAGCATGGAGGACGGATACTTGTATTTCTAAAGCTTATGTTTTAAGCATGATGCTAGATGATATAGACGTATTTCATAAAACATGAGGAATACTTAAGAAAAATATGTTCATTTGTTTGGAAAATAAGAATATTTCTGCTGATCATATTGTTGTGTGATATTCTTGTTCTTGAGTTTTGTATTACCTCTAATATCTCAGTGCTTTTTACACTGACCTCGTTCTCTGGAAGTTCCTTTCTGAAACATTCACTTTTTGAATAGTATCTCATTATTAGATTTCAGTAAAACCATTCCACCTTTCTTAAAATGGGAAAAGACTACATAATCTATTTCAATCACACTGTAACTCACCATTCCCAATTAAAAAGTCTTCAATTCAAATAACTCAGATTACTTTCAGTTATTCTAAGACAAGTGCTATTAACCTGCTAGCCTGATTTTCTACTTTCATGTCTTAAAGTTCAGCATATATTAGTTGTATACATTAAAGGAAATCTCACAATTATTTTTTTATCCATTTGTTTTAAAGCTTTGTAATGCTGATCCCCTTCCATATAGCCAATTTCATTCATTCAGCACTAAAAAAACAAATTAGATGTGATGCTATACTAAATGAGTTTAGGAAACAATGCTGTTTTCTACCTTTAATAAATGCAGATGGTCCTCAATTTCATCAGGACAGTAACACTTGAGTGGGAAAGCTCAGCTCAACTCCTTCCTCCCTATTTCCTTCCATTAATATTAGTATCTTCCTATATATACACATACCTATATACACAGATGTGAAAACCTACTGGCACCAATGGGAGATTCTTCTTGGATAATAGCATATGGGACAATTTTTGCCTGGATCATTCTCCTCACGAGTTCACTTGGTCCATGTCTGATCTTAAGGAGGGAACAAAACAGACAGACATGATTACTAAAAATATATATATATATATATATATATTTGTTTTAACAAACACACACACACACACATATATATGTTTTAACATTGTTAAGAGTTTGTAAAGTGTTGGGAAGACTTGTTTTCAAATACAGATTAAGAGGATTGCATCTGCTATACTCTTCTCCCTTCAAATTAAAAAAATGCCATTGGGAATTTTAATAGTCATGTTCACTTTAATTAAAAGCTGAGTTTAAAAAAATCAGAGACCGTCTTGCAGCATTTATTTTAAGGAGGATCCATCTGTCTCTTTTTCTCATATACTTATGAGGCTCTTTATATTATCAAAATGCCAGTGTGATAAAACAAATTATATACACTTAGCTTTACCCTAGATAGACTGAAATCAAGGAAGAGTTCCCATTTTTCCTCTTGCCCTCTTTTATACTCATTGCTGGCAAAACAATAGATGAAACAGTTGAAGAAACTTCAGTTAAATGTTCCTGTACATCACATTCATTTATTTATTTGAGTATGCGTTATGCTTAGTTCTATCCCAACTTAATGGCTTGTTTCAGAGAGATGTCCAAGTTCAATTAACAATTTGGATACAAATAGAAAAACAGACCAGACCACAAAGGTGTAGCATTCTGATCCAAGATTTCACAAGAAGGAAGACATTAGGGTAAGGTGAAAAAAAAGAGTGATTTTTTTTGTTTTTATCCTGATATTATTTTTACAAATAACTCAAGGCAGCAAACATATCCAACACATTTTCCTCCTCTTACTTTCCCTACAACAACCCAGTGAGGTGGGTTGGGCTAAGAAAGAGTGACTGGCCGAAAGTCACCCAACTGGCTTTGTACTGTGACACCTTGCTTCTAATCGGAGGGAATCATTTTACCATAGTTTTCCAATCACAGCACACTGATGGAGGGACGTTAAAGTAATATACTAATATAACTCCACTTCATTTTATGTTTTCGATAGTTTTCTGTTTTCTGAGCAGAAATATCTATTATTCAACATCCATTACCTCAGCTATTTTTTTCCTTATGCCAAACTAACTTATCTTTAGTCTACTACATTTAATAACTTACAACAGAAAAAAATGTCTATTATACAGTACTTTCTATAACTATTGAATCAGCAGTGACACCACCCAGCAGACTTTAACCAATTCAGAAAGCTATACAGGAATAGTCTAGCTAGCACTTGAGTGGGAAACTACTTTGGGCAAGAATAGGAAATCAGGAGGAAAAAGTCCTGCAAGAAGGCAATGCATGATGACAAGAACACTGAACAGATGTGTCCCTAGCTCAACTTGACTGAGGATTCACTTTTTACTGAATTATACTGCATACCAAATACTTGTTCAAACTGGTCATCAAACACATTTCTCAATAAGATAAAATCTAGAGTGTTTATCCATTATCAGTTTCATATACTTCCATCACCTAGTGATGGTTAAGATGTGTTTCTTCATATGTAACTGGCTTTGAGCTCCTCCTGTCAACTTGACTCTAGCCATCCTCATAAGCTGAAGAAAGCTGGAGCCTACTAATAGGTACAACTTCTTCCACCTTGCAATAAATAAATATATCTGAGATTTTATCTGAACTAACAGGATTTCAGGTATTTTCTCTCTCTCTCCCTCCCTCTTTTCCTTCCTTCCTTCCTTCCTTCCTTCCTTCCTTCCTTCCTTCCTTCCTTCTTTTGGTTCAATGAAATGTTTTATTTATTCCTGAAGCATCCAAAATTCCTTATGGTCCAAAATTTCTGGACCAGCTAGATGAATTTTTCAGTTATACAAACTTCAACTACAGCAACAACAGTAAACAACAATAATTAATAAGCATCATAATGCCAGTATTATAAATAAACTTTTTAATAAACAGAAAATAAGAGAAAGTTAACAAAACTCACAGATTCCTTCATGCCAGATTCCAGGCTACAGTATTAGAAAATAAGAACTTGCTTAATTTCAGCTGTCATGTGCCATTGATGAACAAAGCAATAGGCAATTAACATTACAGAGGGAAAATCCTTGGTCAGCATTTACTGTTCCACTTCCACAAAGCTTCTATTCTCTTCTTTTCTGTGTGGGTGTAGCATTTTGCTGAAAAGCTATATTCAGTTTAGAGGGCATGTATTTCAGCCTCAGTCCCAAACAACAGCATTTGTATGCAAGTTGCCTGGTAACTCAAATGCAAAAAAAAAAAAAAAAGCAGGCAGGAAAGGACACTGTCTGGTGTACATAATTAGGAGTGTGTGATAATTTTTTTAAAATCTCGAGTTTTTTCTAATATCTCCTCAAGTACCCTTTTTTATTTTTATTTTTTTTACCACACTACAATAGAAGTTCTAAATAAACATGTTGATTTTTCATTCCTGCAAAAAATTTTAATAATGAACATTATCAACATTCTACATAAAAAGAACTGAGTTCTATATTTGTACAAACTGTGTCCCTTGAACACATTTTCATGCTATCATCATGCTAATCAGAAGTAGGGACAGTTATGCAGGTCATAATCATTCACCCTTCTCTTTCCTTCTATAGTAGATTCTGAAAGCTAATGTTTGTGGCTCAGAATTTATCTCTGTTTAATTTTTAAACTGTTTCCAGCCACCAGTTCTCTATTTTTATAATTGGGATCTGGAATACTTTTCTCTCCTACTTTTAAAATAGTTCTAGGAGAAAAATAAATTTGAATTCAGATAATAAATGCTTTCCTCTATTTCTTCTTTTTATATATAATCCACCACAAACTATTTAATTAGAAATTTTTTTTCCTGATAAGGAATTCTAAATATTTTATTTTTATGTGTCACTCTCAAATCAGTAGTATAAAATAACCTCCATAAACAGCAAACTGAACCTGACAATTTTTTCTATGTATTTATTTTGATTTGAAAAATAAAGTCAATTTGAACTGTTTATGTTCTACCCCTTTTCTAGATATGTAGATACCTTCAATCAGAAGTGCACACAGACGCCTGAAAACAGAATCTGAATGACAATGACCACTCAATTATATATGGGCCATTTCAATAATTAACATGCAGGAGGATATTTTCAGATTTGCCCTTCACATAAGCATCTAGGTTACATAATGATTCCGCTGTCCAGTAGACTTGTAAGAAGAGTGCCTGCTTTGCAAGGCCACCACAAGCTGGACTAAAAGATGGATTCAATTAGTAGTAGTGGCTCTGCTTGAAATGGGAAGGTATTTTCTCTCAACATTACTTTTGCATCTATGGACATAGTTAAAAAGCCCTTGAAATAGTTGCTCAGTCACACATTTGGTAAATATCAAGAGATTCAACAGTCAGTAAGTCTTGAATGGTTGCTTCAAGCTAAGGAAAGTACCCCTTCAAGACTCCTCACTGTCCCAGCAACCAGCAGTAAAAACTTAACAGTTATGGGTTGTCAGGTGTGAACAAACCAGACCTACACATGTAGGGTTCATCAAACTAGCTGCTTTATTGTTCTATGCCTATTTCAAAGGAATCTCCCCAGGCTGGCAGCTTTGCCTGGGAAACACTAGATAAGGCTCAAAGAAATTCAGGGGAGATCAGACATTGTCCTCTTGTTTTTATGTAATGAGTCCAGACTAATTCCCTGCTTGAACCCTCCTCCCAACTGGGACAGTTGCTCTCCAACATCGGCACACACATGTCCAGTGTTAAATATTTACACACATACTATTTATTTAGTCATCCTATTTATATGGCTGCTCATCAGATTCTGAGTGACGTACAATAAAAACGTACTATAAATCAATAATATAAAAGGTCAACAATTTGAAAAAGTATTAATATTCTTGGAGGAAACATCCTATCTAGATCCGTTCCAGTCGGGTTTCAGGCCTGGACACAGCACGGAAACGGCATTGGTCGCGTTGGTTGATGATCTCTGGAGGGCTCGGGACAGGGGTTGTTCCTCTGTTCTGGTCCTGTTAGACCTCTCAGCGGCTTTTGATACCATCGACCATGGTATCATGCTGCACCGGTTGGAAGAGTTGGGGATGGGGGGCACGGTATTACGGTGGTTCTCCTACTTTCTCTCCGACCGGTCGCAGTTCGTGTTGGCAGGGGGGCAGAGGTCGACCTCAAGGCCTCTTATATGTGGAGTGCCTCAGGGGTCGGTCCTCTCGCCCCTCCTGTTCAACATTTATGTGAAGCCGCTGGGCGAGATCATCCGTGGCTTTGGGGTGAGATACCACCAGTACGCTGACGACACCCAGCTGTACATCTCCACCCCAGGCCACCCCAACGATGCCCTTGAAGTGATGTCCCAGTGCCTGGAGGCTGTGCGGATCTGGATGGGGAGGAACAGGCTCAGGCTCAACCCTTCCAAGACTGAGTGGCTGTGGCTCCCGGCATCCCGATATAGTCAGTTGACTCCATCACTGACTATTGGGGGCGAGTCGTTGGCCCCCACAGAGAGGGCTCGCAATCTGGGAGTCCTCCTGGATAGGCAGCTGTCCTTGGAGGAACATCTGACGGCTGTAACCAGGGGGACCTTTTGTCAGGTTCGCCTGATCCGACAGTTGCGGCCCTTTCTTGATCGGGATTCCCTGTGCAGTCACTCATGCCCTCTTCACCTCTCGCCTTGACTACTGCAACGCTCTCTACATGGGGCTCCCCTTGAGGAGCACCCGGAGGCTCCAACTGGTCCAGAACACAGCAGCGCGGGTAGTGATGGGAGCAGCATGGCGCTCCCATGTAACACCGCTCCTGCGCGAGCTGCACTGGCTCCCAGTGGTCTTCCGGGTGCGCTTCAAGGTGTTGGTTATCACCTTTAAAGCGCTCCATGGCATAGGGCCTAGCTATCTTCGAGACTGCCTGCTGCCACCGACGACCTCCCATCGACCCGTGCGCTCCCACAGAGAGGGCCTCCTCGGGGTGCCATCAGCCAAACAGTGCAGGCTGGTGACCCCCAGGGGGAGGGCCTTCTCTGTGGGGGCACCTACCCTCTGGAATCAATTGCCTCCAGAGATAAGGAGAATCCAAGACCTCAGTGCCTTCTGCCGTGCCCTTAAAACCTTCCTTTTCCAGCAAGCTGGGCTGGCCTAATTTTTTTTAAGTGTTTTTAAGTGTTTTGTTTATTGTTTTTAATTAATGGGGCCAAATGTATATATATATATATATATTAACTGTATTTTAATATTTGTACTTGATGTTTTTACTTGGCTGTTCACCGCCCTGAGTCCTCAGGGAGAAGGGCGGTATACAAATTCAAAATAAAATAAATAAAATAAATATTATGATGAATTGGCAATCCAAGAACAATAAATTGCATCACTCTTTGCATTTTGAATATAGGGTGGCAACCTCCAGTTATAATGGCTTAGTATCTCTTTGCCTCCTTTTGAGTGAAAAACAGCATTATTCTTGTGCAGTAAAAACTTACTTAATGTTTAGTAGTGTCACCAGGAAGCCAATAAAAATGCCTGATGGATTCAGTTTTGCAAGCTGAGTCTCCAGATCAGGGAATACAAGTATGTCAATTCGTATTCTATTCCCCCAAAAGGGGAAATAGGATTGCATATATTTCCTTCAATCTAACTAGCATTTATTTCAACTCTATTGACCAACTTTGTTTCTGAACACATAACTTGTGTGAGCTGAACTTTGCCAAAAAATGAAAACAACATACCTGTTTTGTTCAATAGTCAAATCCTAGACTGTGAACTGGGTTGGGAAACATTTTGATAATTAATGCCACCACCTAACACTGAGGATGGAGCTTTCCATTTGTTTTTTCTAGATGTATGATCATTTTAAAAATCAGCTTATTTTAGGACATTTTTTTATAATTCTGTAAGAAACAACCTCAACATGATGGGAAATTGTGTCAATGATATTTCATTATTAAGCCACCGAAATTCAGCAGAGGAAATTTCAGCAAAAGAAAATAAGGAAAAGCCCAGCACTGCTTGCGGCTGAGGAAGGAATCAACTTTCCCCTATGTAGCTCAGAAAAGAAACGCAAGTAAGCAGATAACTCAAACAAGCTCATTGCAAAATGTATGGGTTTTTTTCACATAGCAAGAAAATATGCTCATAATGGTTATATCACTTCTCAGTCTTTTAGCTAAGATCAAGTGTAGTGTATATCAATTAAATATCCTCTGGGGAGACAGGGAATGATGAACATGATGAGATAGCGCTGAAGAGAATTTTCACATAAGTTCACACTTTTTAATAAAAGAAAAAAGAAAACAAATATAAACAGCCCCAAGAACTGAAAAAAATAGGATTATGAAAAATGCAAGAAAAGAGATGTAAATGTAAAAAAAAATGGGATTTGCGAAAAATACAAATGAGAGCAACGATTCACTTGCAATTGTATTTCATCACAGGATTATGCAAATCCTGTCTGAGCCTCCAGAGAACAGGAAGGTGAGGTCTATACTTTATGCAGGACCAGTATAGCCAATGGGAAGCAGCAAAGTATCTAACCTTTAATAAGCATGTTTTCAATCTCAACTTTACCTTTTATCTCTCTCTCCCTATTCCTCTCCCTATCTATCCTAATCTAATTTAACCTAATCTATTATTTATCTCTCTATATCTCTCTATCATGTTGAGTCATTATTAACTCCTGGCAACTTCCTGGACTAATGTCTGCAATTATCTTGGCAAAGTTTTCAGAAGTGGTTTGCACTTGCCTGCTTCCTAGAGCTGAGGAAAAGTGACTGGCTCAAGGTCACCGAGCTGGCACGATTAGCACTCACACACTCACATTTTCTGGCCTGATGCCTTAACCACCATACCAACTCTACCTCAACATAGACCAGTGGTGGGTTGCTCCCGGTTTGATCCGGTTCTATAGAACCGGTAGTAAAGCCAGTGGGAGGCTCCGCCCACCCACATCATTGTGGGTAATCTGCGCATATGCAGAAGCGCGCGCATGAGCAAAGCAAGTGTGCGCGCACTCCCGCTGCGAACTGGTAGTAAATGTAAGTTGAACCGACCCCTGACATAGACCCACACTACCAAGAAAGCAATTGATTTGCCATGGCAAAACCTCAGCATTCTTTACCAAATGTTTCTATGTACAATATTATCTGGTAATTGTTTATAGTGGGGAAAATCCTGTTCCAGAAGTTTTAGAGAATTTTACAGAATATTGCAGAATTTTTAAGGATTAAGAAACTTGGATATCCAAGCCAAACTCTATGCCTATTGTCCAAAAACTGCCTAACAACAAGAAGAAAAATTCCCATTTGGATGAATATAATTTTGTATTGTACTGAGTAGGGAGTCCCATTTTCCAAGCTAGTATCTTTCCAGATGTTTGGAATTTCAACTCCCAAAATGTTCAACTTTTGGAACAAGGCTCCATGTTTTCCCGTCTAATTTTACTTATTATTCAGTCATTTGTTTGGTAATTGAGACAGAAACATGGAATATAGCTTCATGTATTATATGTCTAACAATCCACTTTTCCCATCAATAGTAATATTTACATTGGGAAGTAAAAAACTAATCCAAGCTGAACTGTGGCATAGTAGTTGAGGAGATGGATTATGAGCAGGAACCAGATCTTAGCCTATCCTCAAATCTAGAAGCTTCCTGGGTAACTTTGGAGCAGTCACACCATCCTAGACCACCCTAAATCATAGATTGTTGTTGTGGGGAAAAACAGAACAGGGGAACCCTACAGTATGTATGCCACCTTGACCTACAAAATAAAAGATAAGATATAAATCAAATAAATAAACTTTTTACTGCATAGTAGGAATCAATTTTCTTGTAATGCACCATGCTCATATGAATTACACATTAGGTACCCAAACAGTTCAAGCTTCATTTTCCAGAACTTTAATGACTTTCCAATCTAGACTCTGCAAATTAAGGTTGTTCCTGAATTTTCATTCAGGCTTGTCCATTTTACACTAGAGTTTGGGAGTAAGAAAAAAGAATTACTTGGCACTAAACTAACTGTCTGGAGTCAATGCCAGAAGCATAAACAAACATTTTTTTTTGTCCATGTGACAGCAATATTTTTTAATATTTTTTAAAATTAAAATATTTTTATCCTTTAATCAAAGCTGGGTAAAGACACTAAGGAAAAAACAGTACAAAAATTAAACTTTAAAAATTAATTTTAAAATAACATGTCATAAATAAGCTATAAGAGATTCAGGACCAAACAGGGAACTCAGGTTTAGATTATATACTAAAGAACAAAAAACTACTAGAAGTCATTCAGAAAAACTAGCAGTAGTTTTCTACAATCGCAAAAGAGAGGAACAGTATAACTGTATTTAACTAATAGGATTAATAAATTGCTTTTCTGTTCATGAGTAACCTCCAAGTTATTATTTAAGCATGTTCTTAAAAAAAGAGTAATATCCCAACACAATATTTTAAAAAATCCCTCCATATCCCCAAACATTGCAGGTTATTAAAAGTCCCCCAAATTCAGTAAAGGTGAAACTGAACTCATTTCCTCAGGAGCTAGATCTTTGAACCAACTCAGTTCTAATATGGATAGCAAAAAAAAAAAAAAAACAGGAGCACATGAACTGATGCTGCCTCTCTCAGTTCGAATCCACCCCCTTGGTGGCAATTTATTTCTAATTCTAGGTTGGATGCCTAACTAGCTGAGGTCACTTGATTGACTGTAAATTGTTCCCCAAAACATACAAGCAGCCATTACAATTGTTTTAATTATGCTTGCTGTGGATTTTGTTGGAAGGAAGGAATAACTTTACCCTTTTATCTGTCATTGAATTTTCCAAGGCCCTATGAACAACTAAGATGCAAGACTGCCAGTTTAGTGTAGTGCTTAAGGCACAGGGCTAGAAATCAGGATATTGTGAGTTCTAAGTGTCAGCAGTCTCTCTCTGTTCTGTGAAGAAGACAATGACAAGCCACTTCTAAAATCTTGATAAGAAAACTGCAGGGACTTGTCTGGAGGCATCCCTGTGGCTAATGAACTAAAAGGAAGAACGACGAAGGAAAAATTTCCAACAAGGCTGCATCTCTCATCTCCGCTAGGATCATTCAAGAAGTCCTTCTTCTCTTATAGTTCTGGGTAGAAATTATCACAGCTCTGAGGAGCAGTAAATCATATTATGCAAACGACACTTCGAAAGGATTTCCTCCCAACATGCCTGCCTGTGATTACAAAGCCTCCTTACAGTTCTCGCCTCTGAATTCTGATTTCTACTAAGTTGCCTGGGACCCGTCACGGCGAAGCCGAGGGAAAGGAGGGTTTATCCACTCAGGTTGAGTTCTCCGCTCAGACCAGCAGACCAAATCGCCCAAAGGAAAACGAGGGTTTTCACCGTTTCCCCGTACTTACTTTGTGGGCTGCCAGATTCTTCATTATCCCAAACCGTTGCAAAAACTACTTGTAAGCAACACATCACAGTTGGAAGATGTAGCGGCATAACGTCACCGCCGCCCACGAATCCAAGACACAAACAAAACACACGCGGGCGCGCGCGCATATACACACACAAACACAATCACTCCCACCCAGAACAACAAGTCTGCCGGGGAAAAAACAAACAAGGATCATTTGCAACAGAAGAGCACGAAGAGGTCTTCTTTCAAACAGGAGCTAATTTATTGCGGGCGGCGGGGAGGGCGAACTGAAACAGGCTTGGGAGATCAAATGGCAGTGAACGTGTTGCTCTGGCTTCAGGAGCGACCACGGAAGGAAACCTGCACACTCTCCGAAGCGCTGCCTCCAAAGCTACCGGGGCAAATGAAAGGCAACCAGAGTCCCGGTTCAAACACTCACTGAAAAGTACCCCAAAGAAGCAGCGGGATTACGGGCACTTCAAGTCAGATGACTCGCCATCTCCACTCGGGGCGACGGATGGATGGAGACTCTTGCTCCAGGCGCTTCATTCCAGTCTCCCGTTTCGCCGTAAGGCTGTTCCTTCCACCTTCTCCAGGCGCAGCGGCGATTCTGGACAAAACCTGCGCTTGCTCCGGAGGAAGAAAGGCGAGGCAAGCGCCTCTCTCTCTCTGCCTCCCTTCCTAGTTCTTGCAGGGATGCGGCGGAGACTAGGGGCCTTGCACGGCCGCCCGGGTGTCTGCGCTGCGCTGCGCTACTCTGCACACCGACTCCTCCCACCCTCCTTCCGACAGTTGCTCCCCAGTCCGCGAAGACAGGAAGGCGAGGGACGCTCGGAACGGCCACCTGCACCGCCCGCCACACGCGACGAGGGCGCCCCGCCCCTGCCTCACCTGTCCCTTTTGTCGAATCGCACACCTGCAGGCACTACTCCGCTGAGAAGTTCGCCAAACCCTCGGATGCTTGGACTTCTCGCGTTCAGAGGCCTAGCGGGGTGAAATCATCCATAGAGAGGGATTTATAGAGGCAAGCTGTATATGATAGGTCTAGTGACCATACGCCCTTTATTGTAAAAGGAAAGTCCTGTATTTCAGAAAGCAGTCTTTTAGATTTCTTTCTTTCTCAAAAGCCAACATTTGTCCTTTATTTTCGTCATTTAACTTTTACAGTAGACAGGCAGGGAACCACTTAACGCACAGTCTTGCGAAAAATACGGAAATTGAATTGTCTTTTTAAAACAAATGTACTTATCTTAGAATATGGGTTTTTGCACAGTTTTTTCTTGTCTTAGCTATTGAATTTTCCTTTGTGAAGAAAAGGTACAAATATAAACAGTTACATTTTTCATTGTTACGAACCGCTTTTCAGATTTGTCCCCTTTTGAGGTTGTCCTTTACTTTTTTCCCAAGAAAATATGGTCATCATAATTATAGGAGATTAGAGGGCTGTTCATTGTGAAAGGCACTGTGGGATGGAAATTACTCATGTAACCAGAGGTTTTTCCCAGAGGCACAAGTATGTAACACATAGTAGGTGGGATCGGGCACTAGAACACCATGGATTAATTATCACTTTAAAATCCTATATTAATATATCGGTATATATATATATATATATGGAGGGAGAGAGAGAGAGAGAGAGAGAGAGAGACACAATTTGCTCTAGTGCTGAGATGGCGCAGCGGTTAGAGTGCAGTACTGCAGCTACTTCAGCTGACTGCTAGTTCAGCAGATCAGAGTATCAAATCTCACCGGCTCAAGGTTGACTCAGCCTTCCATCCTTCCGAGGTGGGTAAAATGAGGACCCAGATTGTTGGGGGCAATATGCTATTTAGTATACTGTCTTTGGTGTAAGCCGCCCAGAGTCCCCAGAGAGTGGGCAGCATAGAAATATGAATAATAAAATAAATAGTGGTTAAGGCACTAGACCAGAGGTCTTCAAACTTGGCAGCTTTAAAACTTGTGGACTTGTGGAGTTGAAGTCCACAAGTCTTAAAGCTGCCAAGTTTGGGGAGCCCTGCACTAGACTGAAACAGGGAGACAAAGACTTCTAGTCCCACATTAGGTATGAAAGCTGGCTTGGGTGACTTTAGTCTAGTCTCTCTCTCTCATCCCACAACATCATGCTTTGGGCAACAAACCAGTTGGTCAATCCCTGTTACAACCGAGGGATCAACACATGGTTGATCCAAAAAAAGCAAATTCTCTCTTTCCCCACCCATCCCTCCCCCACCTCTCTCTCTCTCCCTCTCTCTCTCTGTCTTTGTTTCATTCAATCATCTCCAAATCTCAGACTACCTGGACAAGTCCCTGTAGTTTTCTTAGCAAGGTTTTTCAGAAGTGGTTTGCCAGTGCCTCCCTCCGAGGCTGAGAGAAAATGATTAGCTCAAGGTCACCAAGCTGGCTTTGTGACCAAGATAGGACTAGAACTAAAACAAACCTGCATGCCTACCTAGAGGACCATTATCAACATTTTGCAATCATGTGGAGGGCAATGTGAGAGCTGGATACTGAGTCATAGTCTTCCACAGATACAAGCAGACTAGAAAAACGCTCACCTTGGCACAGTAAAAGTTGATTGTCATGCATGGTGTAGCATTTGAAATAGTCACATGTTCACTCTTTCATTACGTTGTTTAAAAGGTGTGCTGCTTGTATTTTTCCACAGTTAAATCTTCAATAGCCCCTATTGTATGTGTCCAAATATCTTTTCAAATCTAATTTGTAAGCTCTGTGACAATAATCAGCAATCATCAGCATTAAAAGATCCACAGGAAGGAAAAATACCATGACTATCCAACCCTTTGGTCTTTTATTAGACCTTCAATATCTATTGAATGAATTTATATTTTTAATTTCACAGGAGCATGTGTGAAAAAAACCATCCCCTGCAATAAAATTTTTTTATGTTCTAAAAAAATTATGTTTGTTCGGGATGTGGAGGTCGGAGAGATAGTGTCATTGTCTCCCACTGCTAAAAATATATTTTAATCATTCCTTTCCTTTAGGTATGGGAAAAACAATATTGGGGCAAATAATGCTGAAATGTGGAAATGAACCAATTTTTAGCATAACAGAAGTACCTGCCAAAAAGCAAGGCTGATGTTCCTTCGTAGGTAATATTCAGCAGAGTGTGACATAGCTGCTTATCTTTGGAGTTCCCAGGTAGAGCGTTCTAATGTAATTTGTGGGTTGCTGAGCACCTATTTATAGTTATTTTAATTTTGTTTAATATACATTGCCCAGAATCGCAACTGTTTGAGTTGGATGGCCATGCCAATCTCATAAATAAATAAATAAATCTTCCTCTTGCATACAGTTTTCTTGTTTATCTATGTTGAGTTTCTATTTACACAACAGAGGCTTGTGAGATTCCTTGAGTTGACTATGATTTTACAAACATGTCCACATAATTATCTTGGCAACTGGGCAGGTTTTCCCATTATATCTTGGATATTTTAAACTTCTAAACTTGCCTGCATCGTCATTCCCCAAGATTTCCTGATGTGATCCTGCTTGGCTTTTTCAGGACCATTGAAGATTCTGTTTTCATAAAATGTGAGCAATATTGAGATGCCATTACATGTCCCATCTTCATATGAGGCCCTCTTTAACATGTAAAGGATATCCTACAATGTGAGACCTTAGCATCTTCTATTTTTACATTTAAAGAGATGGATACCTCAATGGATTCAATATGCCTTGTGGATTTGTTTTGTGCTAATTAACTGATATTAATCCCACAACCAGTGCAATTTAAATATAAATGTCTGGCAATTTTAAGAGAAAGAAACTTGGAGACTGGAAGTTCTAGTCCCACTTTAGACACAAAACCTGGGGGGTGACCTTGGACCACTCATTCTCTCTCCCTCCCTAGGAAGGGGAACAAAGACAAACCATTTCTGAAATTTTGCCAAAAGAACTGCAGGAATTTATCTAGGCAGTCTCAGGAATTAGTACAAACTCAAAAGCACAAAAAATAAGTAAAATAAAAATAGGTTTGGAGTACCCAAGTAGGTGTTAACAAGTAACCAACTTTAGATAATCTTAGTGTTAGCCTTGGAAGCCATCTTTTTCTTTGGAGCTTCAGGGCTGCCACATTTAGTGCCTGGGAAAACAGGAGGGGGGATTACATGGAGTCAGTGGAGGATTAGCCATAACAACATTCCTTTCTCTGGGAGTCAAGGACATTCAGCCTGGACCTGGATGGGAGTGACTGGGGCTGTCTCCAGTTGGGACGATGAATTGATTGGACCATGTGATGGACTTGTGGGTTCAGGGGATGGATCTTTGACTTTCTTTTGGGTGGGGAAAACCTGGAACTCTCAGATTCGGGTTTTCCCAGATGTGCCAATATGACATCTCTAATAAAATGGAACTTTGAGGAATTGCTAGCCTCTGAGTTTTCTTTTGTTGAAGGTGTTACTTAGAGCCCTGACACTTAGAAGGATAGCAGAGCAGAGCAGAGCAGAGCATAGCATAAGAATTCTTAATTAGTTAAGAGTGATTGGACACACAAAGAATTTGTCTCCAGTACATAAGAGAGACAGTTATAGAGGTACAAATGACAGACTCAATTATTCCTCTGTAGAATTATATCAGCACCTTGGGCAGTCTGAGCTTTCTGAGTTGGTGCAGGAAGAACATTCTTTTTGTGCTTTTCAACGACATTTTGATGTTAGGTGTCCATTTCAAGTCCTGGAAGATTATAGAACCCAGAACCTTAATGGTCTCTATTGTTGATATTGTGTTGTCTAGTATTGTAAGAGGTGGTAGAATAGGAGGGCTTCTCCTAAAATCTATTATCATTTCTATAGTTTTGAGTGTGTTCAGTTCATGATTGTTCTGGCCGCACCACAGGACCAATTGTTCAACTTCCAATCTGTATGCAGATTCATCACCATCTTGAATGAGATCAATGACTATTGTATCATCTTCAAACTTCAGTACTTTAACAGAGGGATCCTTTGAAATGCAGTCATTGGCATATAGAGAGAAGAGTAATAGAGCACACAACCCTGGGGGCTACCTGTGCTAATTGTACAGGCATCCAATTTTGCCTAGCTTCACCTGATGCTTCCTATCTGTTAGAAAGCTTATAATACACTTACAGGTGTGGTCAGGCACAGCTAGTTGAGTCAGTTTAGTGAGAAGAATATCTGGAATGATGGTATTGAATGCCGAGCTGAAGTCAACAAAAAGCATAGATTCTTGGAGATTCAAGATGTTGTAAGATGTAGTGCAGAGCCATATTAACAGCATCCTCTGCCGATCTATTTGCTTGGAAGGGAATTTTCAAGGAATC